AACCAATTTGATACAGCAATACGAGAAGTTTTACGTCGCAGTACAAAATGTTCGGGATACTTGCACACTCATTTTGAAGACAACGAATTCTGGTTATTATTACTTATATCTTAAGTTTCATTATCGTCATCATCGTCAGCCGATTTATCCTACTGCTGAGAAAAGGTCGCTGTCTCATTTGGATAAGGGATGATCTGTAATTACCACGCTTGCTTCAAGGCGGATTGGCAATTTGTAGATCAATCGTAGCAATGGTAACAGGCGTTGCACCGTGGGGGCTCCGGTGCAGGTCTCTTCAGAGGACCCGGTGCCCTTTACTTACAGGTATTGAGGGTAGACACCGGGGTGGTTTTAATGAGGTACGAATCCCACACTCCCTAGTCTTTCTCCCCAAAAAGCTAGGCGCCAAATCATCATCATCAAAAAAGGTCAATGGAATCGGGTTGATCATAACGGTGACGATGATGATGATGATGATGCCATTATTGATTTTGCAGACACTGAAAAAAGGGTATGTAAGAACGTGCTACGCTTACATCGGGCATCATTCAGCAAGATGAGCCTGCTCGGTATGTTCCACGTGGACGCTGCGTTACAGCTCAGTCTAATTTCGAACCTTAGTAACTACACTGTGGTATTACTACAGTTTGCGCTATTGTAAACCTACACTATAGGCTTATAAGCAAAACACGTGAATGTAACTAACAGACTAAACTTTATTCCATCTTTAAAAATATATTGACAATTATATTTTTAAAGATTTTTTTTTTTAAGAGGGGAAAATCATCGAATGACTGCTCCCGTCTGGGTGAGGCGGAAGGCAGTTAAAGATGGAATACAAATTAGTCTGTTTATATGTAGTCTGTTTATACATAGATAGACAATTATATTTTTTTATATACCATAAACAAACATGACAAATTTAAGTCTCTACGTCCCAGCAGAGATGGTATAACAGTAAGAACACAAACAATTACTTTTATTATTTTGATGTATCATTACAACACTTTTATAATGAGCCATTTTGGTCGACATTTCACTGTTACAATATAAAACGAATTTCAAAATACACATAACATCACGCCTTTTATCCTCAAAGGGGTAGGCAGAGGTGCACATTATACCACTGTACAATGTAACACCCACTTTTCACTATTTATGTTATGAGTCCCATGTAATAGGGGGTGAGCCTATTGCCATATACCGGGCACAGTTCCAGACTCCGTGCTACTACTGAGAATTTTTTAAAAACCCAGTAATACTTTGCCCGACCCGGGAATCGAACCCGAGACCCCTTGCTCGGCAGTCGCAATTGCGACCATTAGGCCAACGAGGCAGTCGCATTTTATTACGACAAAATTCCTTGGAAATCTTCTTCAATGAGTATACTAAAGATGTTTTCTTAAAACAGATAAAAATAAAGCTTTTAATGAAGTTGAATTTTTGTTTTATTTTGTTATAATCCTTTCAACATTTATCACCAAGTATAAAATGTATTTTATTTACCTATACCAACATGAACTTGTTTTTATCTGATATTATCTTATTTTTATCGGTTATGTTTCTTTTTATTCTATTTAAAAAGGTAGACTTCCTCAAGGACATCCTAACTATAAAGTTAGCATGGACCGATTGTGAGTCCCTGAGGTATTCCTCTCCACCTTTTAATTATAAGGAAAATGTTGACATAAGCCAAGCCACAACAAAAGACTTTATTTTCTACCTCGAAAGTTGGAATTGACAGTTACAGAATTAACATTCCCCAGTCTCTCCAATCCCTGAATCCCCCACAATCCTCAAATTCAAATCCTCAAATCCCAATTCCTTAAAGGCCGGCAACGCACTTGTAACTCCTTTGGTCTTGCGTGAATCAATGGGTGGCTCTGATTGCTTACCATCAGGTGATACGTCTGCTCGTTTGCTGGTCTATGACCACTAGGCAAGATATTAGTCAAACGGTGGCCCATCAAATATATAAAAAAAATCTAGCTTGAATCCAAAACATAGATATCGCACATGGAAACCGTGGTTATAAGAAATTCAAATTCAGTTTTTTTTCATTGCATTCATTCATCGCGTTCCTCATGGATGGAAGTCCTCATGGACTTTCCATGTCGTGTGGACGGCAGCGGGGTGTACCGGAGTCTTACCGGCTAAAACTAGTGTAGTCTTCCTCCTTTGCCAGTGGTCATGACCCGGGGTGCCCTTGTGGAATCACCGCACCTGGCAGGCCTCAACCTACCACTATATTGCGGCATGTCCTACCAAGAAGCAGCTCTTGCAGGCTGATTTCCTTTCTCAAGTGGCATTATGTGTAACATAATTGGATAGAAACAGTATCAACATGGCAGCCGGTTAGGGCCCAGCACCATAATAGGGTAGATGACTAATTTTTATTTTAATGTCCGTCTGATAGATTATTTTAAAACATTTGACATTTTATTTTCTTACAGAAACGAATACTTTCTACGGTATATTGATTTGAAATGTCGCGTGACGTCACTTCTATGTACATTTTAGGCGTAGAAATGACGTTTTAGCCCCCACTCCTTAACTTTGATTCATTATAATTAAGTATCATTTTATTATACAACAAAATAAAAAATACGTGTCTAATATTTTTTCATTACCTAACTGACGGACTTATTAAATTTTTAATTTTCATTCCCTGTCATCATCCCTATTATTACATGAAAAAGAATAGCATCTAATTAATTGACTTATTTTATTATGAAATAAAACTAATTTACATATACATAATGGTGTTTATTTATTAAATAGGCTAGGTACCAATAAATATAACCATTTTACCCGTTTTACATTTTTGCCTACATTCAACATAAATTAGTTAATAATTTTTAAAATCACCTCATTAAATTCCATAGTTACTTTTCCCCTCTGACTAGTTTGAAAGAAAGATAAATATATTTGTCAGAAATATAGTTATATTATATCGCCCACCTCTCATACATAAGGGTGCAGGTTCGAAACCTACCAACGGCGAGTACCAATGTGACTTTTTCCGAGTTATATATACTTTCTAAGATTATCTAGACACCACTAACAAACGGTGAAGGAAAACATCGTGAGGAAACCTAGGCTTATAATTTCTAATTATAAGTTTGTAATCGCCAACCCGCATTGAGCAAGCGTGGTGATTAATGCTCAAACCTCCTCCGTGCGAGAAGAGGCTTTGCTCAGCAGTGAGCATATAGGCTGTTGATGATGATTATAATTAGGTACAATCTCATATTCATGAGCGGCATTTCGCGACCTGTGACACGGCGACTGTCGCGCAGCTACTTGTCGCGTACAGTCGCCGCGTCGCAAGTCGCGAAATGCCGCCCATGAATATGAGCCTCTAGCATGGCTTGAAACTAGTCGAGTTCCTCGTTAAATAATTACGTGAGTAAGCCGAAAACATAATAAATTATTTAGTATGTCTCACGAAAGTTATAATACAAACATAGTTACAATCGGTGTTTTATGTCAATTAAATTTATCTCATACATTGTACCGAATTGGTGTACTAGACTTTTTTTCTACTTATAAATATTATGCACTATTCTATAACAATTCCGCGGATAACCTAACGGCCGCGGAGAACCTAACAGGTTACCGGGGCTCCGGCTCGAAGTGCAGGAGTAGGAACGGGGTGATTTTTAGTTAGTAAGAGTCTGACACTCCCTTCCGCCTCACCCAGGCGGGAGCAGTCATTCGATGATTTCCCCCCCTTAAAAAAATCTGTAACAATGGTCTTGTTACCTTTGTCATTAACAAATTCTTTACTTGAATAGTAGTACTTATTTAACAGAAACTGAATCTCAATGACTTTAAGATTTTTTAGGTAATTTGGAAGCTTACTATAAATTTTGATAGCCATATAAAACGAATTTTGACTGTATAGTGTGTTGAGAAGAAACACTGAAACTAACTCAAGGTTCTCTTTTGAAGACTAGACATAATAAATGTTAAATTAAAGTCACCAAAAAGTTCATAGTAGTCTTTTGAAAAACAAAAACATAATTTTCAGAGGCCAAGAGTCTGCTATTACAATAGAATCAGAATGATCGATCATTGATTTCAAAATTGTTAATTTTGACAAGTTTGGTAATCTACTGATTTATGTAATGTGTAAGTAATGGCGTCACTAAGACTTTCCAATGTAGTAGAAGCAATGACATAAAATTGTAATCTCGTACGTAATGAAAGATTCTTCAGATTGCACATAACACTGATAGATATTTTGTAAAATATAATAATTGCAATACGGCAATGTCATTCTACTACAACTCCATTACGAGACCATTGACCGATCAATGTTCGAATATTATGAACTTAGCAGATTAGGAACTTTTAGCAAAATGACAATGCGATTGTGTCGGAATGATAACAATTATAATAATAGCAGACTTGAGGCCCAGCAGCTGTAGCCAAATGCTATTTAGCGCTTGTCTACGTAGAATAGAAAACCAAATTATATGGAATTGACGTAAATTTTGAGACTTGTCAATGTCATCCCCATACATTTAGTTTTCTACTCTCTCTATAGACAAGCGCTAAAGTGGCGTGCGGAGGCACTGCTCCGTTAGCAAGCAAGCTTGTCTCAGTTTACATTCAACTATTAAAGAATTTTTAAATGGTCATAGAAATACTCGAATTATCAGGTTAGACTGGAAGAAAATTCCTGCGGCATTAAGTCCATCTATTGTACATCGAGTGCATGAAGCGTATTAAATAAATTATCAGGAAGCTTAAAACCATACGGTCCTTAAAACACTTAGATCCAATAGAGACAGTGATAATGTCGTCAATCCACTTAGCTGGTGGTCTATCAACGTCGCGCCTTCCAATAGTCGCCACTCGAATGCAACTTCCTCGCCCATCGTCCGTCAGTACTTCGAGAGACGTGGCTTGTCCATTATCACTTCACTATGCAGATTTTAAGAACTATATGTCAGTGACATTCTAACATTTACACAAATTACATTGACGACCTTTCATGACAGTCCATTTATTCTCCCGTTTCTAGGACTGGCTTTAATGTTATAACCATCGTAGCTGGTGACAGAGATAGCGATATTCAGCCTTATATTGTCGAGGGAGATGGCGGGTTCCAACTTGGCGTACCGCAGCACCCACACCACTACCGTCTTTATGAGGGCCGTTCCATAAACTCGACCTGCAAATGAAGTATGCAATAAATTTCTTATTCTTTCTGTGACTTCACCCAGGATACTAGAGTCGACAGATAGATTTTACAGTTACTTCAACACTACCATATATTTGGTTTAGTTACCTAAACAGTCCATAGGTCCCAAACCAAAAGGTACAAAGGCATTAGGGTCTCGTTTCTTCACGTTTTCTGGGAGGAACCTCTCCGGCATCACTTTATTGGGGTCCTCCCAGTAGCGAGGGTCGCGGTGGAGGTTGTGGATTGGTATCACCAGCGATGTGCCAGCTGGGAGGGTGATACTTTCTAGAAGATGAAAAAATAAAGACTATTTTAGAGAAGCCACTTCATGTGTTAGTAAGTAGGATACTGATTATAACACAGGATTGAACAATTTTGTATTTTCTGGCCTTTTTGCACCCGTAAAAGCCTCAACATGGAAAATTGTTTATAAAAAAGTAATTCTATGATTAGCATACCATCTCTAATAGAAATATCTTCCATCACAGTCCTCTGTATCATCCCTCCTATTGGGAAATACCGCAGTGTCTCCTTGTACACCATGTCCAGGTGCTCCAGCTGCTTCAGTTGCTCGTTGGTAACTGGACCGTCAGCTCCGACTACTTCTATTATCTCTTTGTATACTTTATCCTGGAAAATTGCAATATTTTCATGACAAAAGGACAGAACGTCAAATATTTTATACATATCTGTGAATGTATTCTTTTTTATTTCATTTATACGTCTTCTAAGTAGGGCGGGGTTCACAGAGATGGTGGAAGAAAGGCTAGAAAAAGGGCTCTTGTAGGACTTACCTGCCAATCCGGCAAGTGAGCTAGGAACATGAGAACTCCCGCTGCTACTTTAGCGGCTACCTCTTGACTCTGAAAAGTTATAGAGAAATATATACAATTTTTGAAGTAGGTGGAGTATGAGTAAACCCTACGTGTGTGTATATAGATAACACTTCAAAGAATCAGACCAATATTCAAAGGTACATGGCAAGTAAACTCACACTAGTAAATAATGTCACGGTCTCCTCCTTGATCTCCTTGTGAGTGAGCTCTCCAGAGAGGATCAATCTGTCCACACCACCCATGCACTCCTCACTCGGCTCGGACACCTGCAAGGCTTTCTTCCTCCGTCTCACGATGTCTTCCGTCAAGTCATCTATCATCTTCAAGTAATAATCCTGCTGCTTCTTCTTGCCAAGCAACCAGTAAATAGGCGGCACATGTAACCACCATTTTGTCATTTGGTCAAAGATAAGATTATACATGCTGTGGAGTGACAAAACATTTATGAATGGATTTTCTTTGAAAATATATTTAATTACGTTTTTCATTTTTATTAATTTGTCTGTTTTACGAAGAAAGGTATTGTTGTCGAATCCGAAATCATATTTTAATCTATATAACAAATATGGAAGTTATTATCAAACTTCTACTCATGAAAGAGTTAGAGAAACTGCCTTATAATGGAACAAACAAACACTTACTCATGAGTTTTAAATATAAATTCTTCCAATCTGGTTAGGTTTACTGAATCTTCTTTAGATAGCCCCATCACGGTTTCTGAAAGCAACGGGAGACTTCATTTTTTTCTGTTAGAAACTGCTTGTTTATAAAATGGTTCTACATTTTTTTTTTAAACGTTGCCCCACACTAGGATTTTCTCCTGTGTCGTGGGTGCGTTTACAAACATACAGGTTCACATACACGTTACACCCAGACCCGGAACAACAATCTGTAGATCACACAAAGAGTTGTTTCGTGCGGTTTTTTGGTATTAAAATTGGTATTAAAATCTTTCTTTCTTCAACTAATTAAATAAAATTTGTAGAAAAAGGGGCTTTTATCGTTACTGGTGAATATAAAATAACAAACAACATACAACTATAACTTGATGTTAATGTGATACAACATTAACATCAAGTAGGAAAAGCTTAATTTACATGTACATACTTGCAAATTATTCCTTTTTGGTCTGTTTCAATATGGAAAACAGAGAAAAAGCTGTAGTTAGGCAATTATTTCAATTATTTCATTCACAAATGTCTTAAAAACTATCAAGTAAACTAAATAAGCAATTTGCTCTCATTCAACAACATTTCAAATTTTGATAAAATTTGGACCTAGACCTAACTTACGGTTGTTGGGACTCGAGGTGGCGCTCCACAAGTCCGAGGCCATGTGTTTTCATGGCCGCGGGAACGCGCCACCTCCGGGTGGGTCCCAAATAATGGCGGGAGGGGTTACCATCGGCGTCGAGACGACGATGAAGTACCTGGGACACGTCCTCGACAGTCGGTGGAACTTCGTGGAGCACTTCCGACGTTTGGCTCCAAAGTTGGCGAGGGCGGGGGCTGCGTTTAAGCGCATCCTCCCCAACCTCGGGGGGCCAAACGCCTCCTGCCGGAGGTTATACGCCGGGGTCGTGCGGTCCATGGCCCTCTACGGCGCCGAACTTGTTGCGGCGTCCTGCTCGGACGCTGCTCATGTCACAGAGGGTCATGGCAATCCGAATGATCCGCGGATACCGCACGATCTCCGGGGAGTCGGCGAACCTCCTTGCCGGATCACCGCCGTGGGATCTGGAGGCGAAGGTGCTCGCGCGCGTGTATCGCATGCGCGCGGAGGCACGTCGCCGGGGCGAAACTCCTCTGCCGCGCCAGATAAGTGCGTGGCGGGATGAGCTCCGGCGCGATCTCATGGCGGAATGGCAGCAACGACTGTCGCAACCGAGGGCTGGGCTCGCTGCCATTGCAGCGGTAAGACCCCTCTTTGAGGAGTGGCTTGAGAGACGCTACGGCGTCCTCACCTACCGCCTGACGCAGGTCCTCACCGGACATGGAAGTTTCGGGAGGTACCTGTGTCTGATGGGGCGGGAGGAAACGCCCGGGTGTCATCACTGCGAGGACCGCCCTGAGGACACGGTGGAACACACCGTAGCGGAATGCCCTGCGTGGGCTGAGCACCGCCGTGCCCTCAGGGAAGTGATCGGCGATGGCGACCTCCCGCGTCCGGGCCTAGTGCAGGCCATGATGCGGAGCGAGGGGGACTGGGATGCCGTCTCCTCCTTTTGCGAAGCAGTCATGCTAGCTAAGGAGGAGGCGGGACGCGTGAGGCAAGCGCTGCCTCCTCGCAACCCAGCCATCGCGAAGGACACACCGGGCGTCGGGGATCGCGGGACGATCTCCGGCCACCGTAAGCGCGGGCCTGCGGACGGCGAGCATGGGTGGCTCCTCGTCCGACCAGAAACAGACCCGAGCGTACGGCGCGTCGCGTTCCGCGCGCGCCTCAAAGAGCCATCAGACCACCACAGATGGGGCCCAATAGGGCCGATGCCGATTCGGAGTCGCGGAGAACCTAACGGGTAACCGGGGCTCCGGCTCGACGTGCAGGAGAAGGAACGGGGTGGTTTTTAGTCAGTAAGAGTCTGACACTCCCTTCCGCCTCACCCAGGCGGGAGCAGTCATTCGATGATTTTCCCCCCTTAAAAAAAAAAAGACCTAACTTACGGTTAACGCTCTGCGTGGTGCTCCTGAGGACATCTACGTAGCAATCGAAGGTCGCCGGACCCTTCTGGCTGATGACTTTGGCCAGCTCCTCACACTCCTTGTTGAAGACGGGAAAGAAGTTCTCCACGGCCTTCTTGCTGAACGTTGGAATCGCTATCTTCCTGTGCAAGCGCCAGGTCGGTCCTGCAGTATTGTTATTAACTGTGACTTAAGCCTTTTGGTGCACGATTGGTGCACTGTCCAAATGATCAGCTACATTCAAACAACTTACCTCCTGATATAATGCCACCACCGATGAATGGTAGTAAGAAATCATATACTGGCCCTTTCTGATTCACTTTGGTACTTGACAATAAAACCTGGAATAAAATAAATTAGTTCCAGATAAATATTATAAATACTTGTTTTTTTATGGGATAAGCCGGTAAACGAGCCGACGGATCACCTGATGGTAAGCAATCGGCGCCGCCAGGCGCGTTACAAGTGCGTTACCAGCCTTTTGGAAATAAAAATTTTGAGGATTGGGCGGATTGGAGGATTGGGGGATTAGGGGATTGAGGAGATTGGAGAGGGGGGTAAATTGAGCCTCTGACAACGCAACCCTTGTTTCCGTCTATTTTCTGTGAGATCGTGGTATCGGTCCGGTTGAGCCAGCCCGTTCGTGCCGAAGCACTGCTCTCCTACTTTGTACTAACAACATGAACATAGAAATACCCCAATGCCCAAATCTTTCATCCTCAAATCCCTAAAGGCCAGTAGTGCTCTTAGAACTCCTCTAGTGTTACAGGTCTATTGGCGCCACAGACTCCTTGCCATCAGGTGACAAGTCAACTAGTATAGGGCCCAATAGGGCTGATGCCGAAACGGAGCCGCAGAGAACAGAGAACCGGCTCGAAGTACAGGAGTAGAAATGGCGTAGTTTTTAGTCACTAAGTGTCTGACACTCCCTCCCCCCTCATCTAGGCGGGAGAAGTAACTCGATGATTTCCCAACTTAAAAAAAAAATGCCGCGCTATCGCGTAAAATTTGAATTGGATCAGACCTTTTCTGGCATGTCTAGCTAGGATAATAAGAATATAGTTGAAATTGTTCAGACTCGTAGAGGTGTAAAGCAATGTATGATATCGTCAAAATTTTATTTCAGTAGATACTTACACGGACATCTGTTGGGTTTTTCACAACAATATTAAGTTCAGGTCCCAGCCAGAATCTAAAAATATCACCGTACGTCTCCATGAGTTCTCCTAATTTGTTCAGTATCTCTGAAAATTAATGGATTACTTATTAAATACTTAATACCTACAGTGTAATTACTGCCTCATTGACCGAGTGGTCGCAAGTGCGACTGCCGGGCAAGGGGTCTCGGGTTCGATTCCCGGGTCGGGCAAAGTATTACTGGGTTTTTTAATATTCTCAGTAGTACCACGGAGTCTGGAATTGTGCCCGGTATATGGCAATAGGCTCACCCCCTATTACATGGGACTCATAACATAAATAGTGAAAAGTGGGTGTTACATTATACAGTGGTATAATGTGATTGTTGTCAACACAGCAACAAAGAAACATCAAATACATGACAGCGTACCACACGCGGTAGTAGCAATATCGCGTCACACGCATGGTTGCATCTATTACACAGACAACAGTGAAGACGCGATAAGCAAACTAATCAGGAAGGCGGCTGATGAGGGTGAGCAAGGTATTAAGGACTACAACCTGAAAATGGCCATCAAACACAGGGACGCGGCAGTCATGGGTGCTCTCTTGGGCGGGGAGTGTTGCTTGTGATGGAACGAATGCAACATGAGGAAATGTGTGTGCAGAAACATGTAGAAATAGAATATGACCAATTGACTTTGGACTATTGTACGCTTTATTGGAATCGGCCCATGTGGCAAGGGTTGAGGCGTCATGCACACATAAATGTCCTACAGTCGGTGGCGCTGTGTGTTGGGTTGTTCCGTTCCCAATAAAAAGGTTGACCGGACCAATTGCTGACACACACGTCATACTCGTGAACGGGTGCCTTCTGCTGGGTCAGGTCGGCTCTCCCATCTTGTTGGTGGGCTGGTTTCATAAAGCCTTTGAAATAGAAATAAATAAATAGTGCCTAATTATTATGTAACCTATACTTTTGCTAATAATTATAGATGTAGTTAATTGTAGTATGTAACTAGGTTCCCTCTTTACTTTATAAAAATTGACTAGATGTATTATAATTAAAAAACTGTATGACAAGGGCACGGACCTAGAGTCCGTGGAGAAATAATCTACAATATTAAAAAAAAAAAAAATGTGCACCTCTGCCTACCCTTTCGGGGATAAAAGGCGTGATGTTATGTTATGTGATGTTATGTACAGTGTAATTAAAAGTATCCTTAACCGACGAGCATGCATGGAAATTCTGATGACTGTTGAACCGAAAGTGATACTTATACTTATGTAAGAATCGTAGCAGTAGGATCTTATGTAGGAAGGGGTATTTTTGACTAATCACAGCAGCTGGCAAATATTGACAGTCTAATGGTGTGACACTAGCTAATTCCCTATTGGACGAAGAGCGAGAGGTTCACATCATTTAGATATTTTTATGAAGAACATTTCCGACATACATGATTTCTGTGTAGCTTTAACTATAAAGCCTGCTCACGCGACGGAAGCTTAAAAAATGGAGTAACTTCTCTCGTTTTCCCAACACTTTCCTTCACTGCTCTGCTCCTAATGATTGTAGCGTGATGAAAACTATACTATAACCTCCCCAAGAGTATGAAAAATAATTGTACTAAGTTTCGTTAAAATACGTCGAGTAGTTATTATTTCTATAAGGAACATACAGACAGACAGACAGACAGACAGACAAAAATTCTACTGATTGCACTTTTGGCATTAGTACCCCCTGATAGTTATTTTGGAAATATATTTCATGTACAGAATTGAACTCTCTACAGATTTATTATAAGTATAGATGATAACTAATGCTCATTTCTTATCCGTGTAAGGAGGTAGCCTTTGCTCAGCTGCGAGATTGGTGATAATGAAAACGTATTCATATTTTAGCTGAGTACTGGCCTTTACGCGCTGTGTCAACGGTATTTTTTATCATTTTTTCTTGTTATGTGTTTTTTTTTATAATAGTGCGAATAAACTTTTTATTTCCTTTCTTTCTTTCATATTTTGAAGACTAAACGATTTCGACGATAATCGAAATGTCGCGTGACGTCACTTCTATGTACATTTTATACGTAGAAATGATGTTTTAGCCCTCATTCCTAAACTTTGATTCGTTATAATAAAATCAGTATCTTGTTTACCTTCTGGCCGGTTCATGAACACCAGCGCATTTCCTAATAGTGGCAGCGTGGGCGGGCCTGGCAGCTTGTTCGCCATCTGTATCATCCTCCTGTTCTTGTATCTCCATAGCAACCAGAAGGCTACCAGTGCACCGCCTATTATGTACAGCAACAATATTGACCAGTCCATTCTGTGAAAATATAATGCGGAATTATCTATCTGATTACATAAAAATGAATAGCTGAATGTAAAAATAATAAAAAATGACTGCCTCGATGGCCGAATGGTCACAAGTGCGACTATCGGGCAAGGGGTCTCGGGTTCGATTCCCGGGTCAGGCAAAGCATTACTGGGATTTAAAAAAAAATCTCAGTTGTAGCACGGAGTCCGGAAATGTGCCCGGTATATGGCAATACGTTCACCCCCTATTACATGGGACTCATAACATAAATAGTGAAGAGTGGTTGTTACTTCTGTGTGCACCTCTGCCTACCCCTTCGGGGATAAAAGGCGTGATGTTATATGATATATAAATAGCTGAATGTATTGCTAAGCGCAAACTTCGAGAACTGCTGAACCGATTTCGATTATTCTTTTTTTTTGTTGAGTTTGTTGTTATTGTTGTTACAAAAATTCGCAGAAAAACAATCCAAAGTCAAACAAAGTTTGAGGGATCTAGCACTAACTAGTATCCTACGTACAAATCTACTAGTTTCGAGCGACAGAGGGGCCCTACCAAATGAGCAGCGTGCGCGGTCGCGGTAATGCGATACAAGGTACGTTGCACGACATAGCCGCGACTGCGTCATTTATTATTCTTATATCTTCTTAGGTTAAAATTTTACAGAAAAAACAAATGAGTGCGAATGCGGACTGACGTTATAAAACTCATTCATATTTATGAAAAATAACCCAAGGACTAGGATAACTTATTATTATTAAAATCCTTACTAATATTATAAATCGGAAAGTGAGTTTGTTTGTTTGTTTGTTCCGACTTCACGCCGTAACTACTAAACCGATTGCATTGAATTTTTGCAGACGTAAAGTTAGTAGTCTGGATTAAACAATAATAGTTTTTATCCCGAAAAAATTTGATGTTCCCGAGGGAAAACAAAAGTATTGGTATAGACGGCGCTGTATGTATTAGTATATGTCACATAGGCTACTTTTTTTGTGACGCGAGCGAAGCCGCGGGTAAAAGCTAGTAGTACCTAAATTAATGTTTTTAAACGATGTTAAAAAGAAAATAAAACAGGTGGTTATGATAATGAGGAAATGTATGTATGTTTGTGCACGATTACCTAGCGATGGGCTGAACCGATTTTGATGCGGTTTTCAGAAAAGTGTTTGTTGCACTTATTAGGAGAAGGTTTTATTACATAACTAGCCTCTGCATGTGACTTAGTACACGCAAACCCTTTTTCTCCCGTTCCCGTCAGATTTTCAGGATTTTTTCTGTCTTAAGAACCTTCTCCTAATAAAATGGGGGGTTGAAGTCGGCTTTTTTAAACAAGGTTTATAAAAGAATTATATTATTAAATGCATGTTACCTTACTGAGTAAAAGTATGGAAACAAGAGAGACTCTTTTACGACGTCATTTTTTTGTTCGTGATCGGTTATTTGAACTGACTGCGAAATCACTGAACAAAATTGAAATTAGTCATAACTTTTGAACCGGTTAGAATCGGACCCCCATACCCAGATGGCCAGAGCAAAAAATTAAGAAATGACTAATGAACTCTATTCCCCTGTTCTATTTAATCCTTACTTCCAGGGACACCCAGTATATATATATGTATGAATATATATATGAATTAAAACTTAAAAATATTAAACTTCTATGTTTAAACTGTCAAACACCAAGCGGTCACCGGTGACCGCGACCTATTGTTCTTTAATTGTGTCTATAAAACCGGTACTCGACGAGTTAATTAAACTTGGTAGCTCACTTTCTTTTATATTTCATACATAGCCGACGTTGGCCACTATCTCGCCAGGTGGTAAGCGATGATGCGGTCTACGATGGAGCACATCGTCCCATAAGCAACCTATTCACAATTTTATTTATTTACTAGCTTCTGCCCGCGACTTCGTACGCGCAATCCCATTTCCCCCCCGTCCCCGTTCGTGATTTTCGGTAAAAAGTAAAAAAAAAAAATGTTGGTTAAAAAGTATCCTATGTCAGTCTCCTGGCTCTAAGCTACACCCCTACCAATTTTCAGCCAAATCTATTCTGCCATTCTTGAGTTATAAGTGGTGTAACTAACACGACTTTCTTTTATACCTCTATATATAGATTAATTTGGACAACCAGTCGTTGTTACATTAAGTCTTACATCTAAGCACGTATATAATAATATCTACATTTTAAATGCACAACTTCTCTTGGTACTTACAATCTGTTGGTACTTACCAACAAATTATAAAAATGTAAGCATTATGGTCACTCAACAATCTCACTACAGCCTTTTTTAAATTTGGTAATGTGTCAACAAATATTATTCGCCCGGTAATTATTTATTTACAACATGTTTGGAAATTAGGGTGAATCCTCGGCAATTATAAATCACATTAAGTACCTATTTAGGACATTAATATATAAAAAAAATCCACAATCACACTTCCGTCAAATACGGAATATGATTATTTATTTTTTGTTTAAAAACATAAGAAAAAACATTAACATAAAAATATACTTCTATTAAACTTTTCTAATGCGGTCTAGTTCACCAATCAGGCCCTTTCGTTTAACATATCCATACTGAAGATACTTTAACTCGTTGAGTACCATCATTATAGACACAATTAAACTGTCAAACACCAAGCGGTCACCGGTGACCGCGACCTATTGTTCTTTAATTGTGTCTATAAAACCGGTACTCGACGAGTTAAAGAACAATAAGTTGCGGTCACCGGTGACCGCTTGGTGTTTGACAGTTTAAAAATAATTGATCATAGTATTGCATCAAATATTAAATCGATCTGTCGTGAGGAAGTTGGTAAAATTTAAATTACTTTTTTGATCCAAACAAACAAATGGGACAAGCTATATACAATCGCTTAAAAATAATAAAAATATGTATACATAATATAAAACTCACTTGTACAAAAATCGAGTGCTGAACTCCCGAAATGCTGAATTAGACTAGACTTAGACGTCTAGATTACAATTACTAAATGTGTAGGTACTCACACTACTCTGTGTTAAAATGTTTGCGCACACACTGACCAATTCACTACAAAGAAGTAGGTAATACTGTTGAAATATAACTTATATATTATTTATGAAGTCGAAATCCTATGTTCTTTAAACCGGTTGTTTTTATCTAGAATATTTAACGCACGCAGCACGCACACTGGTAACGCATTATTTTGTCTAGATATATTCAAATTCATGGCTGTTTGCATTAGGACCTTGGAGATTAATTTTATAAAAATTGTAATTAATTAGACCTACAAATGTTATCTTGTTAGGAAACCAGTATTTTTGTACAAAAACTTAACATGAAATAAATCTTGAAATCTGGCTAAATCGATACATCTATACAGGTAAATAAAATTGGAGAGTCTCTTTGTATTATTAAAATAACCGCTTTTACTACATGCATTATATGAATATAATATATGCATATGATGACATGCAGATCTGAAGACATGTATTGTGCAAGGTCTTAAAATATACATGAATATAAATATACATGTTATTGTTATCTATACATATCGCGGAGAACGGGAGAACCTAACAGGTTACCGGGGCTCCGACTCGACGTGCAGGAGAAGGAACGGAGTGGTTTTTAGTTAGTAAGAGTCTGACACTCCTTCCCTTTGATCCAGGCGGGAGTAGTCATCATTCGATGGTTTTCCCCCTTAAATATGAATAGTATAAATACTTAAAAATGGTATCTATATCATTATCTACAAATATTATTACCTATACATACGATACATATACGAAAATAATCGATGTTTTTTAACCAAAAAAAATGTTATGTTCTAAAATTACACCGGTCACACTTAGACTTTGGTCATTAAAAAAAAAACTTGCTTTGTTCTCATCACAGAGATTCTAGAAAAAGGACGAAACAAGATGGAGAAAATACACTTATTTTCGAATCTACAGAACTCCACCTTGATAATCTGGTCCTTGCAGCTTGCACACAAGAAAGTATTTCTTCCTACCCGTGTTGTATAGATAGATCGTACACAAGTACATATCTTAGTTCGAGTTCTTATTTGGTCTTAGTTTGAGTCCCTCCATTACTGCGAAAACAGGAAGACCATTTAAGCCTCACCGTCTTGTCGCGCAGTCACTACTGGTAGTGATAATATCAACGCGTATGATAAGCAGCGACTAGACACGACATATCATGCTGCCCAATATACTTCAAATTCCTAATCCCCAAAAGGCCGGTAACGCACATGTAACGCCTCTGGTGTTCCGGGTGACCATGGGCGACGCCGATTGCTTACCATCAGGTGGTCCGTCTGCTCGTTTACAGGTTTTTGCTATAAAAAGCATCCAGTCTAAGAGACGCCGCGCTGCCCATATTTTTATGATATCGACGATTTCCGAAAAAATATGTATATTTCAAAATTAAACATTCCGTTCTAGAAAACGTATCTACATAAAACAGGATGTTAACATTGACATTATGTAGACGATGTTTTAATATTAATTGCCCCGAGTTATAATACTTATGTACTCTCTAAGATTAATGTCAGTGGTGTTTAACCACTGACAAACGGTGAAGGGAAACATTATGAAGAAAACTGGTCTTACAATTTCTAATTATAAGTTTGAAATTGCTAACCCGCATTAAGCAAGCGTGGTGATTACTGTTCAAACCTTCTCCGTTTGAAAAGAGGCCTTTGATCAGCAGTAGACACTTAGGTACGGGCTGTTGATGATGATGATTTTGAAATAAAATAAAACAATAGGATAATCATGATAATTCATTTATTCTACCGTTCCTAGGTCTAGCCTTAATATTATATCCATTGGCGCAGGACACGGAGATGGCGACGTTTAACTTTATATTGTCGAGGGTCCCAGCAGGCTCCAACCTTGCGTACCGGAGCACCCACACCACTATCGTCTTGATGAGAGCTGTTGCGTATACTCGACCTGGACAGGAAAATTAAGTATAATTTATTTTCTTTACCCTGACCCTTGTGTCTACCAGGGCATTATAAATTGAAGAAGCATATAAAACACATAAGTAACCATTAACTTATTTCCAGCTTTTGTCATAGCTTTCATTATGATTTGTATGTTTCCACAATAACGAGCTCCCAGCGTATGGACTCTTTTAAGACTTGAAACTAATCGAGCATCCTCGAATAATGTATGTAGTTCATTATGAATCCCTTAACATGAGGCGATCCCGTTTACTCATTAAGGCCTGACTTCATAAAATAGATAAAAATACTACAATTACCTAAACAGTCCATAGGTCCCAAACTGAAAGGCACGAAGGCGTTAGGGTCTCGTTTCTTCACGTTCTCCGGAAGAAACCTCTCCGGCATCACCCTGTGAGGATCCTCCCAAAAACGAGGGTCACGATGGAGGTTGTGGATCGGTATCACCAACGATGTGCCCACTGGGAGGGTTATACTACCTGGAAGATGAGAAAAAACTCTTGATAAAAGACTAGATTTCAAACTCAAACGCATTTATTTCAATTAAACCATAATTTGGTACTTTATAAACGTCAACAAATATGAAATAAATAATAGTCTGTCAGTCTGTCCATTAGTGAAGCTAGGCGCTCGTTCCAAAATGTCGATTCGAGTGGAGAAGAACGAGCAAGAAACTCCATTCATTACTCTTTTAAAAAAAAGTCTGTTTTACACTGCTCTGATGCATATTCCAATATTGTACACACATGTGAATCATGTATCGGTACGAATGGGCCGCTTCAATACAATAAAATATTAAAAAATAATCACACGTGTTGGTTGTAAAAAATAAAAAAAACAGTCTACATAAATTTATTTTATGACCAACTTAATTTTAGTATATTTCCAGCAAATTTTTAACACATTCACTGCGTTACGACAAGTATTTGGCCGTATTTGATTCTCAGCCATAAATAAGCTTTTCTTTCTCACTCACAGGCGTTACACAACACAACCGTTGTTTCACGCCGGTTTTCTGTTAGGCCGTGGTATCACTCCGGTCGAGCTGGCCCATTTGTGCCGAAGTATGGCTCCCGTACTCCTATAAAAAACTGCGTTTAAAAAAACCGACCTCAAAAACAAATGACAAACAAAAAGTAAAAACTAAAAAGGAAGAAAAAACTATTAGTGGTCATACGTACTTAATAGCTTACACACCCACTGATAGGTTAGAAGTCGGTGCCACAAGTTTTAAACCTAATTATTATATATTCATTAAAACCTTAATAGATACCTAACATTATTGAGCTGTTTACAATTTTATTATGGATTTTACCAGCTGTGACTTTTGTTTACTTTATATTTTATTGTGGGTTTGTGGCACCGACTTCTAACCTATCAGTGGGTGTGTAAGCTATTAAGTACGTATGACCACTAATAGTTTTTTCTTCCTTTTTAGTTTTTACTTTTTGTTTGTCATTTGTTTTTGAGGTCGGTTTTTTTAAACGCAGTTTTTTAATTTTATTTTATACTTTTTAGTTTAGTACTTTGATATATTATATTATACAAAACCCACATGGATGCAAAGTTTTCAAATTATGCAAGTTCAAACACCGGGTGGGTACTCTTAACCATTGAGAAGTCCCTTAGCTATCATACTACTTCGTCATTGGACCTTTAATGACCATCACCCCCCCCCCCCCCCATCTAGGTGTAAAGTCCTCATCAATACAAATTAATCAAACCTAAACACAAAATAGCTACTGTTAACCGTTAAGGAGTTCCCTCAACTATCGTACTACTTCATCATCAGACCCTTATTGACAATTACACCGCACTCAGGTGTAAAGTCCTCATCAATACAAATTAATCAAACCCAAACACAAAGTAGCTACTGTTAACCGTTGAGGAGTTCCCTCAACTATCGTACTACTTCATCATCAGACCCTTATTGACAATTACACCCCACTCAGGTGTAAAGTCCTCATCAATACAAATTAATCAAACCCAAACACAAGGTAGCTAGTGTTAACCGTTGAGGAGTTCCCTCAACTATCGTACTACTTCATCATCAGACCCTTATTGTCAATTACACCCCACTCAGGTGTAAAGTCCTCATCAATACAAATTAATCAAACCCAAACACAAGGTAGCTACTGTTAACCGTTGAGGAGTTCCCTCAACTATCGTACTACTTCATCGTCAGACCCTTATTGACAATTACACCCCACTCAGGTGTAAAGTCCTCATCAATACAAATTAATCAAACCCAAACACATGGTAGCTACTGTTAACCGTTGAGGAGTTCCCTCAACTATCGTACTACTTCATCATCAGACCCTTATTGACAATTACACCCCACTCAGGTGTAAAGTCCTCATCAATACAAATTAATCAAACCCAAACACAAGGTAGCTAGTGTTAACCTTTGAGGAGTTCCCTCAACTATCGTATTACTTCATCATCAGACCCTTATTAAAGTCCTCATTAGTACAAATTAATCAAACCCAAACACAAGGTAGCTACTGTTAACCGTTAAGGGGTTCCCTCAACTATCGTACTACTTCATCATCAGACCCTTATTGTCAATTACACCCCACTCAGGTGTAAAGTCCTCATCAATACAAATTAATCAAACCCAAACACAAAGTAGCTAGTGTTAACCGTTGAGGAGTTCCCTCAACTATCATACTACTTCATCATCAGACCCTTATTGACAATTACACCCCACTCAGGTGTAAAGTCCTCATCAATACAAATTAATCAAACCCAAACACAAGGTAGCTACTGTTAACCGTTGAGGAGTTCCCTCAACTATCGTACTACTTCATCATCAGACCCTTATTGACAATTACACCCCACTTAGGTGTAAGGTACTCATCAATACAAATTAATCAAACCCAAACACAAAGTAGCTACTGTTAACCGTTGAGGAGTTCCCTCAACTATCGTACTACTTCATCATCAGACCCTTATTGACAATTACACCCCACTCAGGTGTAAAGTCCTCATCAATACAAATTAATCAAACCCAAACACAAGGTAGCTACTGTTAACCGTTGAGGAGTTCCCTCAACTGGCTCTCGGCTCCATCATCAGATCGGCTCCAGACCTTTATCAGATTGTAGAGGTTTTTAATACTTAATGAAAAAATTAACAAATGCCCTAGTCACCCCTATAATTTTTAAAAGTTCCCCTCGGTTTCCCTGGTCTTCCATCATCAGATCCTGATTTCCTTATCATGGGACCATTCTGGAACTATCTCCTTTCTAACAAAAAAAGAATTTTCAAAATCGGTTTATAAACAACGGAGATATCGGCGAACAAACATAAAAAAAAAAAAAAGCATATATACGGTCGAATTGAGAACCTCCTCCTTTTTTTGAAGTCGGTTAAAAAAATATACAGTACGATGTCCCTAACGAAAATTAAAAAAACAATACTGTCATACCGTCTTGAATAGTAATTTCTTCCACCACAGTCCTCTGTATCAGAGCAGCTATGGAGAAATACCGCAGTGTCTCCTTGTACACCATGTCCAGGTACTCCAGTTGCTTCAGCTGCTCGTTGGTGACTGGACCGTCAGCTCCGACGACTTCCATCATCTCTTTGTACACTTTATCCTGGAAAATTGAATATTTTCAAGGTCAAATATCAAAAATTATCTATGTGTAGAAGAAATTCTATAACTTTGCTCAAGTACCTAATCCCCGAAATGTATGTGTGTAATGTACGCGCATAAGCAACTTCAGAACGACAGAACCAAATTTGATAATATCTTCATGCGATTAAAGTATTCTCGGAAGCAGCCATGTCCTGAGAGCATTTGTGTTAGATAGATAATAATTGTCAGTGTGGGTGTGTGTGTGTGTGTGTGTGTGTGTGTGAGGGTGCGTGTGTGTGTGTGTGTGTGTGTGTGTAAAAAGTTTATTATTAGATTATGTTGCTATTGACTGGCTGAATTACTTAGCCCCTAATTAAACTCGTTAACAGCTACAAAAGTATAAATTTTCTCACAGGTATGAAATTTTTTTATTCAAAAACATTAACTACAAACACGACATGGTAATGGTAACACAGTATAATTTTTATTAAATTATGGGCCGACTTTTCAATCGTCAGTTAATTCCTAAATGTAGAATAAAATTGGCATTTGATAGTTTTTAGTATGGAAGAACTGGGTAGTTTCCAGGGTATCAAAATTAAAAATCTAATTCGTCAGTCAGTTAGATAATGAAAAAATATTAGACACGTACTTTCTTATTTTCTCGTATTAAATTGCAACACTTAGATAAAATGGCGCTAAGTTTAGGAGTGACGGAATGTGGCACGCTGTGACGTCACATGATATTTCAAATTAATATAATTATCGTCAAAAGTATTTAATTTTATGAGAAAAGAAAAAATACGTGTCTAAAATTTCAAATGTACTAGACGGACATTAAAATAAATTTTAAGAAACTACCCTATTGTCGAATAAATTATAAATGAGGAATAACATAACATAACATAACATAACATCACGCCTTTTTATCCCCGAAGAGGTAGGCAGAGGTGCACATTTCGGCACTTAATGCCACTGTAAAATGTAACACCCACTTTTCACTATTTATGTTATGAGTCCCATGTAATAGGGGGTGAGCCTATTGCCATATACCGGGCACATTTTTCCAGACTCCGTGCTACTACTGAGATTTATAAAAACCCAGTAATACTTTGCCCGACCCGGGAATCGAACCCGAGACCCCTTGCCCGGCAGTCGCACTTGCGACCACTCGGCCAATGAGGCAGTCTCGGAAATGAGGAATAATTTTGAGTTATTCCTCAGTTACCTCTATAATTTATCTGGCATTGGAAAAATCAACCCTAAAGCCGTATAATGGGGATGATGACAGGGTATAAAAATTAAAAATCTAATTAGTCCGTAAGTTAGGTAATTAAAAAATATAGGACACGTATTTTTTTATTTTGTCGTATAATAAAACAATACTTAGATAAAACGAATCAAAGTTTAGGAGTGGGGGCTAAAACGTCATTTCTCAGTATAAAATGTACTGAGAAGTGACGTCACGCGACATTTCAAATCAATATATCTTCGAAGCTATTCGTTTCCGTAAGAAAATAAAAAATACGTGTCTAATGTTTTTAAATAATCTACCAGACGGACATTAAAATAAAAATTAGTCGCTGTCCTTGTCATTTTGAGCGTGACGTCATTGATGTGTCATTTGTTTTTATTTTGCAGACCAGCCGAACAGCCTTCTGTGGCTTTTGGTTATAGTTACAGTTAAACAGTTTGTCTGCGAAAACAAAATTGACAAAAGGTACGATGACGGGGTATAAAAATAAAAATCTAATAAGTCCGTCGTCAGTTAAATTATAGGGAGTGCCTTCGCTGCCGGCGCCAGTTGCCAAAAATATCACTATTGGATACCGGCGGTAAGTATACAGCCGGCAGCCGAGATTTAAAACAACGGCTGCCGGTGCCGACACTCAAAATGGCAGCCGGTGACAATGCGCAAAAGGTTATTTTGCTGTAAAAGAAAGTAATACATAGTTAAATAAATTAAAGTTTAGGAGTGGGAGCCATTAGCTAACTACGTCATTTCTACGTATAAATCGTACCTAGAAGTGACGTCACACCATATTTCAAATTAAAATATCGTCGAAAGTATTTGTTTCTGTAAGAAAATGAATGATATGTGTCTAATGTTTGAAAATAATCTACCAGAGTTCATTGAAATAAATATCAGTAAGATAGGATAGATCCCTATCTTAGTTTTTTAGCCAGATATTTTTAACTTGAAATCACTTCGCAGTTATTATAGTAATCTGATATTTTTTTAAGCAACCGAACAAAAACGTTTTTGATGTACACAATACGTAAGTACCTACATAAAGTTGAGATGTTCGATATATTATTTAAATTAACGATTCATTAAAATCTTGTCTGTGGGAAGGCTACCTATGTGTTGATTTAAAACAATGTGATCTAGGCAGTTATTACTTTTAATGATATTATCTATAGTTAAATATAGTCAAATAGGTACTTAAATTATCATTATAGCCTGGCCAAGATTATATCAGCAGCCAATTTTATTATAATTTTTAATAAAGTAAATTGTAAATCGAGTAAATTTTATACATTTTTAAAAAGAGTAACGAACGAACATACTTTTTTAAAAAGAGTAACGAATGGAGTTTCTAGCTTGTTCTTCTCCATTCGTATCTACATTTTGGAATGAGCAAAGCTAACTTCACCTAGCTTCACTGCACTGATGGACTGATTGACAGAAGACAATTTATTTTGTATTTGTTGACGTTTCAAAAGTACTAAATTATGGTTTAATTGAAATAAATGTTTTGACTTTCATATTATTAGGTGAAGGTAGATGTTATATGGTATCTTCTACTATTAGACCCGGCCGCTTGGCTAGCTAGCCTGTCTAGGTCTTCACAAGTTAATACCAATTGACGTCACAAGATATTATTTCAACTTATAACTATAATCATAGGTACTGCTCAACTGCTTCGTTTGCCGAGTGGTCGCAAGAGCGACGGCCGGGCAAGGGGTCTCGGGGTCGATCGACCAGGGGGTCGGGCAAAGTATTACTGGGTTTTCAAAATAAGATTCTCAGTAGTAGCACGGAGTTCGATATGTGCCCGGTATATGGCAATAGGCTCACCCCCTATTACATGGGATTCATAACATAAATAGTGAAAAGTAGGTGTTACATTGTATAGTGGCATTAAGTACCGTAATGTGCGCCTCTGCCTACCACTTCGGGAATAAAAGGCATGTTATGATGTTATGTCAAAGGTACTGTACTGACTGATGTTTTTTCAGTTTCCAGACATTGAAATCTTGTCTAAATACTAATGTGTCGTGGTAAATGTATCTACTTTGATAAGTCTAAATAAAAAAAAACTTTATGTGACCTCTTGGAGTAGCGGTGGATGTTCACCCGCTTCTCATGCATGAGGGCTACAAACGGCAAAGTACCAATGCGATTTTTTCCGAATTACATGTACTTTCCAAGATTATTGAGACACCACTGACAAACGGTGAAGGAAAACATCGTGAAAAAACCTATTTTTTAAGGGGGCAAAATCATCCAATGACTTCTCCCGCCCTGGGTTGGCGACTAAAAACCACCCCGTTCCTACTCCTGCTCTTCGAGCCGGAGCCCCGGCAACCCGTTAGGCCTTCTGCGGCTCCGTATCGGTATCGGCGTTAGCTGGGCCCCATCTATGGTGGTCTGAAGGCTCGCGTTTCGCGCGCGCCCCAAAGAAAGTACGCGCTGCGCCGTACGCACGGGTCTGGTTCTGGTCGGGCGGCAAGCTACCCTTGCTCATCGTCCCCAGACCCGCACCTACGGTGGCCGAAGATCGTCCCGCGATCCCCGACGCCCCGAGTGTCTCCCGCGACGTCTGGGGCGTGAGGAGGTTTGTTCCCTCACGCGCTCCGCCTCCTCTTTGGCTAGCATGACTGCTTCGCAGAAAGAGGAGACGGCATCCCAATCCCCCTCGCTCCGCACCATAGCCTGAACCAAAGCCGGACGCGAGAGGTCGCCGTCGCCGATCACATCTCTTAGGGCACGGCGGTACCGTGAAGAAACCTGGACTTATAATTTGAAATCGAAAACTTAACTTAAACCTTCCATTCTCTGTGGTCAGCTGTGGGGTTGATGTTAGTTATCTCACCTAACACAAACTGGTGCATATGTTTGCTTGCTATTGCAATAGCAAGGACGACATTGAACTTATGGCGTTTATGATGTTCAGTGAAGTAAATAACGAACCATTAATATATATATTTTAGTATTTTTTGAGCTGTTTTGTTTTTTATTTAGGTACACACAGCCACACATCAATCTATACAAAACCAGTTTATCCTGGTATCGCGTCGCATCATCTTTACACACATTCAACGTTCAGTTTATACTGAGTATGTGAAGCTCGTGTGTACCTGTAACTTCTAGAATCGATTACGATGTCTCGATTACATAATAGAGATTTATACGGTAGATTTGTTGTGAATAATTAATTATAGTTACGTTTGAAACGCAAATTTTGTTCGTTTCGTTTCGACCGGCCATTTTTTTTAACCGTTAGTTACCTAAAAATAAACTCAAGGCATTTTTTGTTGAATTCTGTCGATGATAGTATTAACTAATATTTTGTACGTTTATTTTAATTATTATATTTTTTTGCAGCATAAATCAAGAATATGTCATTATTCATTCAAGGTCTTCCTTTAAAAAATACATACCTAAGTAAATTTTATTATCCGCATTGTCAAGTCGTTTTAGAGTTAAATGGTTAACGACATATTTGTCAATTGGGTAGGTACTTGCCATGCCAACTAGTCATATTCAATACTATTTTCGAATTGTCAAAAACGACAGTTTTCTATGAACTTTGAACGAAATTGTGTATTTTTTAGCGTCAAACAGCATACTTATTACCTAGAATATTTTACGGAAAAATATTAAAATTAAGTTGTGTTTACTTTTTGTGATTACTTTTTAATATTTTATTGTAGGTATTAAACAGTCAAAATAATTTAATTTTGAATAAGGACTTTCCTTTCACATAATTTATACAAACATGCATATTTTGTATGTCTCTCAGTAAAACTAACAAATGATACGGTTCTTAATTCCACAGAAATATCTAAAACTTCTTTATTATATCTATCTTTTACCCGCGGCTTCGCTCGCGTCACAAAAGGATAAAAATTAGCCAGTGACATATACCAATACACACAGCGCAATCTATACCAATAATTTAGTTTTTCCTCGAGAATATAAAATTTTTCCAGGATAAAAAGTACCCTATTATTTAATCCAGACTTCTAACTTCTACAAAAATTCAAAGCAATCGGTTTAGTAGTTACGGTGTGAAAGTGGAACAAACAAACAAACAAACTCAAACTAGTAAGGATGATCGGGCGTTTTTCCTGTGGCCCCTCGCGCCGAGTGTATGCCAATATCGCCTAACAATAATTATGGTTGATTACACCGACATATTAGCGATATACAGGGTGGAGTTTTGTAATGCCACCTGAAGGGGAAGTACTCTTAATACTTAATATAGAAAAGTTTACTCAAAGAAAACATTCATTTATTTTTGAAAAGAAACAAAATTTAATTAAAAATTTTTTTTTTTAAATTAACTCACCCTGTAAACGAACCGACTAAAATCTGTCAAAGTCGCACTCTGTACCTTTATTGCATCTTTTTCCTTTTATTAAATTTATGAAGTTTGTTAGAGAGATTTCATCCTTATTTACCCTAACAACAGATGCAATAAAAGTACAGGGTGCAACTTTTACAGATTTTAGTCGATACGGTTACCTACCGTGTGCGGCAAGCGAATTTAAAAAATCTTTGATTGCATGTTTCTTTCTTTCAAAAAATAAAGGTAAGTTTTCTTTGCGTGTATATTCATCTAGGTATCTACACCGCCGTGCACTGCACAGAGAGGCTCTAGGTAGACACATAGGTCTCCACAGGGAGGTGCCGTAACAGGCGTTGCACTGTGGGGGCTCCGGAGTTGGTCTACCAAGAGGACCCGGTGCCTCCTTTAGGTGCGGATGGTGGCCACCGGGGAGGTTTTAGTGAGATAAAAATCCCACACTCCCTAGTCTTTTTTTCCTCAAAAATGCTAGACACCTTTTGAAGGATTCCCCCGTCAACAAAACAAAAGGTATCTACATCTTTTGAAGCTTGGATCAGTTTATAAAGTGGTAAACCTACCTGCCAATCCGGTAAATGAGCTAGGAACATGATCACTCCTGACGCCATCTTAGCAGCTGCCTCTTGGCTCTGAAAAGTGACGTTACTGAATTCAAATATCATATCAACAATTTCAATTCAAGCAATCACGGCCTGGATGCCTGGGTGCCATGTAAATAAGGTCAAAACGACTTGCGTCATCACCAACACAAAACTCCTTCAAAGTTTCGACTTAGTTTTGTTTTCATTTTTATGTTATTTTTATTATTTAGAGGTAGACTAGAGATGCAAGGAATAGTAGTGTAGTAACACTGCCGGCAGTGTGATACCTACATTTTGAGTTTCATAGGTGCGTGACGCGTACCGCCACGCCGGTCACCGGGCAGGTTTTGACTTATATTATGCAGGTAATAAAAAGTTAAAATAGTTTAAAATAATAAAAATATTCAATTACAACTGTGTCTTTATTTAGATTTCATTTTTAAAATCTAACAAGTTTACCATCCGGTATCCGGCCGGATAAGCCGGATACCGGATAGTAACAGAATATTCGGTGCATCTCTAATTTAGACCATGCTGTGTTCCGAACAGCGTTACCATAGGTGTATAAGTACATACTTATACATATACATACTTATACATATATTTACATCCCGCAATCGTTTGGACGTCCCATGAAGGCGAAAGTGCATTTAATCTGGCGTCCACCTGCTTGTGGCGTCCGCATACCGGACGCCACTTTTTTGGCCTATGCTACTTAGGTCCTTTTGGTCCTGGCTGCACGTAGGTTAAAAATCGACAGAGGCCAAAAAATCGGTTCAATGGCTGTTATAGTATTTTTAAAAGTTCCCAAAGAAATCTCAGCGCAGATAGAGCGCTGCTGTAGCGCGTATATCCACAGCTGTATATTTTTGGGATTTTCTGATTATAAGTCCGCGTATTTGGCGTCCTCAAAAAAATAACAGCGACGTTGCCAGTTCGCTCAGTAAATCCGTGGAAATAGTTCATAATATTATTTACCGCATTCAAAACAATATTCATCGTTGTACATTTCGGATGTGTTGCGTATTATTTGGAGTCCGATTTTATTATAATCATGTGATTGCAACTTACGACAACTTATCTGCAACCCTGTTCTCAATTTGTAAATGAGTACCTATCAGTAATATATTATAATAGATGAGGGTATAAATTAATTCCTTAAAGGGATCTTAGAAATAAGTACTAAAGTGACAAAATTATATGTGTTACCACAAAAAGGTTAACCAGAGTTTAACTCGTATTAAATGTGTATTTAGATAGTATAGTCTCCGTATAAATCTTGACGTAATTTTATTAACTTTATCTATTAATGTGGTTAGAAGATGCATCTAACACTGAGTAATTAATTAATGTTGTATTACTGATCAAATCAATCAACGTTTGTCTTCTTATTTCTAGCCTTGGCGTGTTATAAAGATCCAATTAGGAATTATAAATGTTTTTGATTACAAAACATGAACACTTCATTAAAAGTGATATCCATATTTAACATAACATAACATCACGCCTTTTTCCCCGAAGGAGTAAGCAGAGATGCACATTACGGCACTTAATGCCACTGTACAATGTAATATCCACAGTTTTACTATTTATGTTATAAGTCCCATGTAATAGGGGGTGAGTTTATTGCTATATACCGGGCTCACTTCCAGACTCTTGAAAAAACCCAGTAATACTTTGCCCAACCCGGGAATGGAACCCGAGACTCTTTGCCAGGCGATCGCACTTGCGACCACTCGGCCAACGAGGCAGTAAAATGATATCCATATTCTTTGTTTTTATTTGCTTACTTAGAATTGGTAACTTCATATCAATAAGCTGCCAATTAAATATTTGATACAATTAGAGCTGGTTTCAAAGCTAGGGGATATGGGCAGCGCGGCTGAAGCGCGGGCTTCAACAATAGAGGCATCAGGCAACAATCCAATAGAGGAGTTAATCGAGTGGCCACAACTAGAAGTATTAAATTAGGAATCTTGCCCTAAATGAAATTGAAATTCAATACAATATTTGCGCACAAAGATCAGATTAGGTGCGGTCTTCAGTTACTTAAGGTTTAGATTAAAATAAAAGTGTATCTCATAGATCATAATTTCTAGCGATAAAGTCCTCTACTGGGACCTCTACCTCTATGACAGTCGTGTCACAATAAAACGATGCTAGAGCTCTCATCATCTAAAAGCGCGAGGCATTTCAGCAGCGCTGCCCAATCCTCTAGCTCTGAAACCAGCCTAAATGAAAGAATTTTTGAACATATATACTTAATAAAACCATTCTAGTAATAAGATATATTCTTATTATCTGTACTAATTACGGACGCCCAATAGCTATACGTGGATGTTCAATAGCTATATACGGACGCCTAATAGCTATATACGGACGCCCAATAGCTATATACGGACGCTCTATAGCTATATACGAACGTTCAATAGCAATATACTGACGATCAATAGCTAGGTGATCTAACATGATACCTTTTTTTTTTGAGGGATAAAAAATCATCCAATGCCATTTGCCGCCGGCCGCTGGCGGCCGCGCCGGTGAGGCGAGTGGAAGTTTCAGAGGAAGTTTCTCTTACTTACTTTTTTTTTAAGCGGGGATAATCATAGATTGACTGCTCCCGCCTGGGTAAGGCGGGAGGGAGTGTCACTCTTACTGACTAAAAACCACCCCGTTCCTTTTCCTGCACGTCCAGCCGGAGCCCCGGTTACCCGTTAGGTTCTCCGCGACTCCGACTCGGTATCAGCCCTGTTTTGCCCCATCTGTGGTGGTTTTATGGCCCTTTGAGGCGCTCGCGGAACGCGACGCGCCGCACGTTCAGGTTTGTTTCTGGTTGGACGGGGAGCCATCCATGCTCGCCGTCCGCAGGCCCGCGCTTACGGTGGCCGGAGATCGTCCCGCAATCCCCGACGCCCGGTGTGTCCTTCGCGATGGCTGGGTTGCGAGGAGGCAGCGCTTCGCTGCCTCATGCGTCCCGCCTCCTCCTTAGCTAGCTTGACTGCTTCGCAAAAGGAGGAGACGGCATCCCAGTCCCCCTCGCTCCGTATCATGGCCTGCACTAGGCCCGGACGCGAGAGGTCGCCATCGCCGATCACTTCCCTGAGGGTACGGCGGTGCTCAGCCCACGCAATGCATTCCGCTATAGTGTGTTCCACCGTGTCCTCAGGGCGGTGCTCACAATGATGACACCCGGACGTGTCCTCCCGGCCCATCAGACACAGGTACCTTCCGACTTTTACTGACTTAAAACCACCCCGTTCCTATTCCTGCACTTCGAGTCGGAGCCCCGGTCACCCCTTAAGTCCTCCGCGGCTCCGTATCGGCAACAGCTCCATCCGTGGTAGTATGATGGCTCCTTGGGGCGTATGTGGAACGTGATGCGCCGTACGCTCGGGTCTGGTTCTGATCGGGCGGCGAGTCATCCGTGCTCGCCGACCGCAGGCCCGTGCTTACGGTGGACGGAGACCGTTTCGGGATCCCCGACGCCTGGAGTGTCTCTCGTGACGGCTGGAGCATGAGGAGGCTCGTTCCCTCACAAGCTCCGCCTTCTCCTTAGCTAGTAGAACTGCTTTGCAGAAGGAGGAGACGGCATCCCTGTCTCCCTCACTCTGTACCATGGTCTGAACCAGTGTCGGACGCGAGAGGTCGCCGTCGCCGATCACATTCCTGAGGACACGACGGTGTTCAGCCCACACAGGGCACACTGCCACCGTATGCTCCACCTTGTCCCCCGGGTGGCCCTCGCCATGATGACACCCGAGCGTTTCCTCCCGCCCAATCCGAAGCAGGAACCTACCGAAAATTCCGTGTCCGGTAAGCACCTGCGTCAGGCGGTAGATAAGGACGCCGTAGCGTCTCTGTCTCTCAAGCCACTCCTCAAATCTAACATGACACCTGCTGAGGAAGTACGTGGATGTTCAATAGCTATATACGGCCGCCCAATAGCTATATACGGACGCCCAATAGCTATATATGGACGTTCAATAGCTATATACGGACGCCCAATAGCTATATACGGACGTTCGATAGCTAAGTGATTTTACATGATACCTGCTGAGGAAGAAACTTTCTTCGCGCGCATGGCCATCGTCAGGCTCCGCAAGAGACCCCTGCCATTACCATGTCAATTGTCAGGATCCGCAATCAACGGACCTCCCATTTCCGTGAGTGAGCAGTATAGTGATGTAGCTTTTTACTTGATGACCATAGCGTTTGGGTCAACTGAAATTTGCATGACCATTTTTGAATTCCTAACGTAGCCCAGTAGATGGTGCTAGTCCAGCAGTGGACTTAAATAGGCTGATGATGATTAATAACTATATACGGACGCCCAATAGCTAGATGATCTTTCACAGTTATAGATGATCTTACATGATGACCGCTGGGGAAGAAACTTTCACGTATTTTACTCTTGCTTGTTTTGAAATAAAAATTGAGTTCTGAGTTTCTTTCTTTCGATAAATTTGTAAAACCGGTACGCCGCGCCGATCACATACGGGCTGAACCGATTTGTATTTATGTATGGAATAGACTAGGCAAACATTTAAAAAATATGTTATTCCTACTGCGGCATCTTCTCATGTAAAAATCTCATAGAAACCTCAATTTTTTTGCATATTGTTACCAATATTATACCTATATCGGGCATTAGTATATGTATTGATAGATTTTACGAATATTGTAATACTGTTAAAACTCTGTCCCAGACGAGTGACAAGAGAGAGGAAAAGAAAGAGACAAGTGAACCCAAAGCTGGCAACGTTGCACTCGCAAATACCATCCACGCTGTGAGGACGTTAATTAGCCGAAGCCATGGTTAAATCACGATCAATATATCTAGGAGCCCAATTAGTTATCACGATGGTTTGGGGTTCAAAAATGTTGCAGCATGACTGCAAGAAGAATATCGCGAAAAATAAAATTATCGGAAAATGACGTATCCTACAAAGCTGGAAATCGAATAACTAAGCAATATTCATCAAGACATATAAAAAAAATTAACGGGAACTGGGGGACGTCGTAATGATGCGCGACATGTGTGACGCCAAAACGATTCCAGGATGTAAATATATACATACTTATACATATACATATACATATACTTACACTTATACTTATACTTATACTTATACTTATACACCTAGTACATACTACGGGCTGGTGCTGAAAATCAGCGCTGTGGACTCGTGCCTTCGTGCCCGGGCCACAATATTATACTGAGCTCCGACTCCGACCTTTTGCGCTGCGACTAGGGTTGCCAACTATACTTTATAATAACGTATTCTACTTTATTTTTGATAATCATAGTTTATACTTTTACATAGATACAAATAAAGTATGTGAAAATACTTTAATTCCAACCTTTGCAATGCGTGGAATAACACTATACTAACTATTTAACGGTGTTTATAAGTTAAAAAACATTATGATAAACGATTTAAAATTGCTGAACAAAATGTTAGTGACCAGTCAGCCAGTAAATCACAAAAGTCACTATCGACGAAATTGTGTGAAAATTGTCCGACGTTTTTGTATAGATAAGTAATTAAAGAAACTAGATACTCTAAAGTAAAAATTAAATAAATAGTAATTCCGAAATTGAAAAACAAATGAATCATATTTAGTTTTTCTTGTAAATACTTTATTTTTCCTATTCAAATAAAATTTATACGCATTTTTCGTTAAAAAAAACACCCTAGCTGGCAACCCTAGCTGCGACGCACCATGGACATCTTTTTGTACCTGTATTCTTGTCTACATGTGTGTAGTGGCGTAATAAATACTTCTTTTCTTTCTTTACTCACCGTAGTAAACAGAGTCATGGTCTCACTCTGAATCTCCTTCTCGGTAAGTTCTCCAGAGAGGATATATCTGTCCACGATGCCCATATACTCCTCACCAGGCACGGATACCTCCAAGGCTTTCCTCCTCCGTCTCACGATGTCTGCCATCAATTCATCTATCAACTTCACATAGTAGTCCTGCTGCTTCTTTTTGCCAAGCAGCCAGTAAATAATCGGTATGTGTAACCACCATTTTGTCATCTTCTCGAAGATTAGACCGTACATTCTGTTGAGGTTGTGGAGGTTAAGGAGTTTATTTACTTACATACATAAAATCACGCCTTTTAAAGGCAGAGGTGTACATTATGCCACCGTACAATGTAACACCCACTCTTCACTATTTATGTTATGAGTCCCATGTAATAGGGGGTGAGCCTATTGCCATATACCGGGCACAATTCCAGACTTCGTGCTACTACTGAGAATTTTTAAAAACCTAATAATACTTTGCCCGACCTGGGAATCGAACCCGAGACCCCTTGCCCGGCAGTCGTACTAGCGACTACTCGGCCAACGAGGCAGTTTATTTACTTGAGTTGTTGTAATAGAGTTCTTTTTACCATGAATTAGATGGGTATGTGTTTTTCTTCAGAAAAAGAAAAGCTAGTAAAAGTCTGATAGATGTTGAAAGAGAATGGAAACCAACTAATAATTTTATTTTTATTATTTTTAGATAACTTTAATGGAGTAATAGGATTTCTGTTAATTTACATCTAATTAAATATAACTACATAAATATTTACAACTTAAAATTAACTACAACTAAACTATTAAATAAAAAGAAAGTAAAAGAAAACAACAAAAATTATACCCTTAATTTAGGCGTCAAAGTATTCGTCCGCATCACTATCACAGGGGAAAGTTCCCAGAAGACTGGCAGCATTGCCACGTTGAATGGCAATGCTTATTTTCTGTCCGAAGAAAAAGCCAGCCCTCTGGTCACGTGTAGAGTCGATAAGCCTACGGGCGATGTCTTTAAACACAGAGTGTGCACTGGGACCCCATGGCCCAAGTGTTTCGACCCCAAACGGCTCAAAACAGTAGTTACCCACTAGATTTGAATATTTACGCCGTTTGAGGGCCTCTGCCGCGGAAGCAGCTGCACCAACGCATGCAGCGGTGCTTAAAAGATGTGATGGCGCAAGGGTGTCTACACACGTCGCGTCCCACACCAAAGGCCTACCCATCTTCCAAGGCAGCAACGACATACCATCTGGTCTTTTGCCGTCATCACGTACCAAACCATTAGGTTCTAATACGGCTGGTACACCGGCTGAGGCAAGAGCACGACGAATGATGTCGTTGATGCTGGCATGGCGAGCTATGCGGCCTGCACTTCTGCAACAAGAAAGACCATGGTGTCCCAAGCCATCGACTCTTTCTCCACAGTGACAATAATGCGGAGAAACACAAGGAGCACCTAAACGTAGGCATACAGCTAGGCGGAACGTTATGTCATCCAACATAGTACCTATGAAGGGTGACGGGAGTGCCTGAAGCCACAATCCTGATTCCCATTCTCCCCAGCCAATAAGCGAGCTCGCTCTGCAGTATTAGGAGACGAGTTGATTAAAGACTCACGAATAACACTGCACAGCGGCACGTCCCACTGTCTCTGAGAAGATGGGTGAACAGGTAAATCCGTAAGTGGGCAAGCCATTTTCCACGCTTCCACTGCATCAGTCAAACACGGCACCTCAAAACTGGTCAGTGATGAAGAAAGAATTTTCCTGACTAATTCAGAGGTACTGTGGACCGAAGACAGAAAAGCTGGTAAACTAATACTTGAAATTTTGCGGACGCCGAGCCCTCCCATGCGAATAGGAAGAGTAGCTTGTTGCCAAGCTCGGTCATCCAAAGCCACATTAAGTATGGATGACAATGTGTGTCTGATAATTTTGTCTACGTTTTCTAAAATGTGTGAATGTTTCCATAGATGTGAAGCGCGGAGAATATAAGTAAATTTTGGTCCAAAACAACAGTACCGAATTAGGGTGAAAGCCGAATGTGTGTTGATTTTGTGTAATCTATCCGAAATGGGATTGAAATTTTGTATCTTGTCCTCGATGAATTTAGGAAAACATTCATCGAATATTGGTGAACCTAGGAGGTGAAGTGAGTACTTATCAATAATTTTGATATTTGGAGCTATTTGATTAAATTTTGCTAGAGTCGTTAGTCTACCAACTTACTTTTGTGTGGCCCATAACATCTCATCCATTCTGTACAGGTTTTGGGAGTCCTCTTTAGATAACCCCATCAGTGTTTCTGAAAGCAACAGAATGATTTATTTTACCCGCGGCTTCGCTCGCGTCACAAAAGGATAAAAAGTAGCCTATGTGACATATACCAATACACACAGCGCCATCTATACCAATAATTTCATTTTCCCTCGAGAATATCAAATTATTCCGGGATAAAAAGTACCCTATTATTTATTTAATCCAGACTTCTAACTTCACGTCTGCAAAAATTCAAAGCAATCGGTTTAGTATTTACGGCGCGAAAGTGGAACAAACAAACAAACTCACTTTCCGATTTATAATATTCGTAAGGATACCTAGCCAAAAGTGGGTCTTGAGTAGTAATAGCTTCGATACATTTAGATACCTTAAGTCACCATAATTATTGGTCTTTAAAATTCTAAAACGCTGCCTGCCAAGATATGATAAGTTGTAAGAAACTTACGGTTAACACTCTGCGTGGTGCATCTGACGACATCTTTGTAGATATCAAAACTTCTCTTCGGGTCTTTCTTGCAGATAACCCTGGCCAGCTCCTCAGCCTCCCTGTTGAAGATTGGAGAGAAGTTATCCACACACTTCTTGTTGTACGAAGGAGTCACTATTTTTCTGTGAGAGCGCCATATTGGACCTGAAATCATTTTATGGCAGATTTATCGACAGTTGTTGCAGAAGAACAATCGATATACAATATAAATGTCTTTTCTTGGTGCTCCTCTTCATTTTCCTAAGAAAATTGAGTTCCATTTAACCTTCTCCTTTCACCTATCAGATGTCATCTTATCGCTGACTCCCTTCTATTCCACATCACAAGCAATCCAAAGTGTGGGAGAGCCATGCTTCGGCACGAATGGACCGGCTCGACCGAAATTATACCACGGCCTTACAGAAAACAGACGTTGTGTTTCGTCGTGCGAGTGAGGTTACCGGAAGCCCGATTACCCCCTTCCCCAGTCTCCCCAATCCCCGAATCAAATTCCCAATTCCCAAAAGGTCGGTAACGCACTTGTAACGCCTCTGGTATTTCGGGTGTCCATGGGCGACGCCGATTGCTTACCATCAGGTGATCCGTTTGCCCGTTTAGCGGGTTATCTCAAAAAAAAAATCCAATTCTTCTTTGGTCCTTCTCCTTCAACCATTTTAAGTTCTGCCCTATTTCCTCTGTTCTTGATCAATAATTAGTTTATACATAAGTAGTAAAGAGGTTTACCTCCAGATAAAATGCCATAGCCGATGAAAGGTACCAGGAACTCATACAATGGTCCTTTCTGGTTCACTTTATTACTGGATAGTAAGGCCTGGAATGAAACAAAATATCACCAAATTATTTTCTTCTCAGGGCCGTGTTAGACTACGCTGAAGCCCTTGGGCACAGAATAATTCGGCCCCCTTGCGGAACTTTTCTTTTTTTAACGTTGCACCACAATACAATAAATTTTCTTCTGTGTCGTAGGTGCATTTACAAACATACAGATGACACACAGACGCGAAACAATTTGTGGATCACACAAAAATTTGCTCCCCGCGGGTATCGGGCTACACGTTGCGAGGCAGTCGGTTGCCGCGCTTTATTAAAAAATGACGTGGTTGATGTAAACTTCACAGACAACCAGTTCATCTACGTAATTGAATGCAGTTATGCAGTTATAAATTATAATTACACAAGATTTTTCTGCGCCATAATCGCAAGTTTCCTACCGCTACCAGTACCTATTCATTCGTTTAATTAACAAACTTGAGTGGATTGTCAAGTTTGATTACACAGTATGTGTACACAGATGAAGAGGACAAGCACTATGGTGAGGGCAGACTATAGATATAGTTGTCTCTTACTGTCCCCGTGCTTTAAAGTACGGTTAAATAGGGATACTAAAGGCCTACGCAGACTGAGACGATATGGCAAGGGGTTTTCATTCCCTGCTTCCTTACCCCCGCGGTATCTAGCAACGAGAGCCGGACTGCCAGAGTCCTTGACATGCCGTTGCCTACCGCAGTATACCAATGGGGTAGTTGCCAGGGAATGAAAATTAAAAATCTAATTAGTCCGTCAGTTAGATAATGAAAAAATATTAGACACATATTTTTTTTATTTTCTCGTATAAAGTTACAATACTTAGATAAAATGGAGTTAAGCTTAGGAATGGGAGGTCACACGATATTTCAGATTACCTAATATATCGTCGAAAGTACTTATTTAATTTAGTGAGAAAAGAAAACATACGTGTCTAATGTTTTAAATTAATCTACCAGACGGGTATTAAAATAAAATTTAGGCAACTACCCTATAGCCACGGCATTCCGCCGCGGAAGCTTGAGTGCATTACCTACAATGACGTAAAAGGTTTTTAATGTCACGGCACTTTTAATGTCACCGTATTATTTATAAACCACATCAATGTAGGTAGGTATCTAATAAATCTATACAGATAAATCAAATTTGAGTGTCTGCTTGTAATTTTAAAATAACCGCTTTTTACTACATGCATATAAATATATATACAATACACAAACCAAAATATTTTATTTTACAATTTTTGTCTGTCTGTCTGTTTGTTTATACGTTGGTTAATCTCTGTATTGGCTGGACCAACTTTGACGCGACTTTTATTGGCACTTAGCTGATGTATTAAGGAGTAACTTAGGCTGCTTTTATTTTGGAAAATTTAAACAAGTTAAGTACGTTCTTAAATTCATATTCTATGTCTAGAGCTAGTCATTTATAAAATACATAAATATTTATGCTGTATGTTATAACTTCTTATACTATTATATAAAGCGGAAGAGTTTGTTTTTTTGTTTGTTTGTTTGAACAGACTAATCTCCGCAACTACAAGTCTGATTTGAATAATTATTTTTTGTGTTGGATAGCGCATTTATCGAGGATGGCTAAAGGCTATAAAACAATACGCTACGACCAATAGGAGCTGAGCAGAGCGTGTGAAACCGCGGGGAAGTAGCTAGTTGTATATATATATATGTTTCTATACCAATAATTTGAATGTTCATTAATAAAAATTTTAATGCCATGCCGTGCCGTAAGCCTTTACAAAGAAGAGTAGGTAGGTACCTAAGGTACTTATACCTACTGAAAAATAATTTCAGAAAGTATTTATTTACATAATTATTCAATCTTTAACGTACACAATCCAATTAATTAGTGGTACATAAGAGTGCCTTATATATATATATATATATAAGGCATTGTGACGACTAAGGGTCTGTGAGTGTGTATGTCACTGAACTTCTCTCAAACGACTGGACCGATTTTGATGAAATATTTTGTGTGTGTTCAAGGGGATCTGGGAATGGTTTAGATTTACAGATCAGCCCGGCAGATGGCACTGCAGTCGATGTTTAGGTTATTTACCCTAAACAGCTGAACTAATTTGAATGAATTTTTGTTTATACCTAGGTACATTCAGGTGGGTATGCAGGACAACGTCTGTTGGGTCCGCTTGTATATAACTATATATATATATACTTACACGTATATCTGTTGGGTTTTTCACAACAATGTTGAGTTCTGGACCCAGCCAGAACCTAAAGACTTCACCGTACGTCTCCATGAATACGTCGACTTTGTTCAGGAACTCTGAAAATTAAGACATTATTTTTAATATAACATCACGTCTTTTATCCCCGAAGGGATAGCCAGTGGTGCACTTAATGCCACTATACCTACAATGTAACACCCACTTTTCACTATTTATGTTATGAGTCCCATATAATAAGAGGTGAGCGTATTTACATATACCGGGCACAATTCCAGACTCCGTGCTACTACTGTGTTTTTCAAAAACCCATGAGACCCCTTGCCCGGCAATTGCACTTTTTTTATGGCATAAGCCGGTAAACGAGCAGACGGATCACCTGATGGTAAGCAATCGGCGTCGCCCATAGATACCTCGAACACCAGAGGCGTTACAAATGCGTTACCGGCTTTTTGGGAATTTGAGGATCGTTGGGGATTCAGGGATTGGGGAGATTGGGGAAGGGGAAGGTAATGGGGCCTCCGGTAACCACACTCACACGACGAAACACAACGCAAGCGTTGCTTCACGTCGGTGTTCTGTGAGGCCGTGGTATCACTCCGGTCGAGCCGGCCCATTCGTGCCGAAGCATGGCTCTCCCACACTTGCGACCACTCGGCCAACGAGGTAGTCAGTAAACAAAACTTCCGACTAGTTAGCAGAGGTAACATAAATAATTAAAATTGTATCTTCATTGTTAACTCAATGTAACAACAGAAAACTCCAAGTAGTAAAAAAAAAGATAAGTATTTTATATTTTCTCAAAAATACTCTACGGATACAAATTATTTCATACTAGCTTTTACCCGCGGCTTCGCTCGCTTCACAAAATGATAAAAAGTAGCCTATGTGACATATACCAATACACACAGCGCCATCTATACCAATAATTTCGTTTGTCCTCGAGAATATCAAATTTTTCCGGGATAAAAAGTACCCTATTATTTAATCCAGACTTCTAACTTCACGTCTGCAAAAATTCAAAGCAATCGGTTTAGTAGTTACGGCGTGAAAGTGGAACAAACAAATAAACAAACAAACAAACTCACTTTCCGATTTATAATATTATATAGTAAGGATATATAGTAAGGACTAGCGACCCGCTCCGGATTCGCAGTGGTGCAATATGCATGTATCATACATATAAACCTTCCTTAACAATCACTCTATCTATAAAAAAAAATCTGCATCAATATCCGTTGCGTAGTTTTAAAGATCTAAGCAAACATAGGAACAGACAGACTACTATGTAGTGATGTTACAATTAAGAGACTGGTGTCTGTTAACTATAACCTGTGTTACAGATCACCTTATTGTTATTATGTAGTTATTATTACCTTTTTATTATTAAGTAGTTATTAGTTAATTGAGAATAATCAGGTTTATAAACAAGATATGGACATAGTTTGGTTTCAGTTAATAAGTTTGCGTGACAAAGTGGAATAAATGGGTCATAATTAATTACTTACATAATGTTCAAGCTGCTCTAAGCACAATAAGATTTGGGCTCGCTGCCATTGCAGCGGTAAGACCCCTCTTTGAGGAGTGGCTTGAGAGAGGAGAGGCGTCCTCACCTACCGCCTGACGCAGGTCCTCACCGGACATGGAAGTTTCGGAAGGTACCTGTGTCTGATGGGGCAGGAGGAAACGCCCGGGTGTCATCACTGCGAGGACCGCCCTGAGGACACGGTGGAACACACCGTAGCGGAATGCCCTGCGTGGGCTGAGCACCGCCGTGCCCTCAGGGAAGTGATCGGCGATGGCGACCTCTCGCGTCCGGGCCTAGTGCAGGTCATGATGCGGAGCGAGGGGGACTGGGATGCCGTCTCCTCCTTTTGCGAAGCAGTCATGCTAGCTAAGGAGGAGGCGGGACGCGTGAGGCAGCGAAGCGCTGCCTCCTCGCAACCCAGCCATCGCGAAGGACACACCGGGCGTCGGGGATCGCGGGACGATCTCCGGCCACCGTAAGCGCGGGCCTGCGGACGGCGAGCATGGGTGGCTCCCCGTCCGACCAGAAACAGACCCGAGCGAACGGCGCGTCGCGCGCGCCTCAAAGAGCCATCAGACCACCACAGATGGGGCCCAATAGGGCCGATGCCGATTCGGAGTCGCGGAGAACCTAACGGGTAACCGGGGCTCCGGCTCGACGTGCAGGAGAAGGAACGGGGTGGTTTTTAGTCAGTAAGAGTCTGACACTCCCTTCCGCCTCACCCAGGCGGGAGCAGTCATTCGATGATATCCCCCCTTAAAAAAAAAAAAAAAAGCACAATAAGGTTATCAAGATCAACAAGTCAGTTATGGTTCCTTCATTGTTTTGTTTGTTGAAGCCTTTACTATTTGCTAATTATGTAACAAGTAGATTAATTATAGGTAACAAATTTGGATCAGTAAAGTGAGAAAGAATAAAGAAATTAAGAAGTAGATAATTTCATTTCATTTTGATAACCTCTATGCCACTCTATGGTATAGATAGGGGATAATAGAAAATTGGACATTTTAAGAACCCAAGTACCTATTTAATCTACACATGTAAAATAATAGGACCTAGCTAGCTAAAGTAAGTAAGTACATATAGAAAGAATTGAACAGACTATTGTTTATTTTTAGCACTAATTAGACGCATCGTTGATTGCTAATTTTGAACAAGCAGGCGCTACATTAGCTCAATTTATTGGTAAGTATAAGTAGATACTAAGTTTATTAATCCATTTTCAAACATTCTTACTAAAGACGTGAATGACTTGCACAAGTAAATAATAGGCAAACACAAGGCAAACACGTATACCACACGATATCTATGTAGACTTTTTAAAGTAGGTAACCACATACGGAAATGATTTACAAAACACATTAAATCATTAAATTGCATTATTGACATAACATAATATTTTAAGCACACTATAACTGAGACATAAATAACAATTTACCTGAAAAAAAAACTTGAATTTTATTGCAACAAGTTTAACATAAAGAATGCAAGCATAAACCAAACGCGAAATGTCAAATTACGGCGCGAAAATTAAGAAAATGGCGTCATATTGTTGTAAAAACCGGTTTATTACGAGAAAATCCAAGATTTATAACGCAATATGTGGGTAAATTACTAAGATTATTTAATTTGCAAGGATTTTCCGGTTTTGCAGCCTACTGGCATTATTATTATTATTTAATTGTTTAACGGCATCTTGATACCTATGCTATGTGACAATTATTAACTGACGCATAGCATATTCATAGGTATAATGATAAAGTTATATTGTGGAAACTTCTATCTACCGTGTAACATTGTCATTGTGTATTTTCTGCTTTGATATCTACGCTTTAGCTTAATGTAAAGCATATCATATTTATTTATTGAGTAACAACAATAAAATTTTCAAATATTCGTCATTGCTGTGGAGGTTGATTCACCCCCTAGGCATTAAGTACATTATCGCGGGCCTGCGGACGGCGAGCATGGGTGGCTCTCCGCCCGACCAGAACCAGACCCGAGCGTACGGCGCGTAGTGTTCCGCGCGCACCTCAAAGAGCCATCAGACCACCACGGATGGGGCCCAATAGAACTGATGCCGATACGGAGCCGCGGAGAACGTAACGGGTTACCGGGGTCCGGCTCGAAGTGCAGGAGTAGGAACGGGGTGGTTTTTAGTTACCTAGTAAGAGTCTGATACTCGATGCATTTTTTTGTCATTTGATTTTTTGTCATTCGATGATTTTCCCCCCTTAAACAAAAGGCATTACATTATGTCATAATGCAACTGGTGTTAAATAGGTCACAGTCACACAGTGCACCTTTGCCTACCCCTTCGGAGATGAGAAGACGTGACATCATCATGTTAAGTATATTAATGTCAATGGAAATCTTTGTTAGTTTGAAATTCTTTGATTGTACATTTTTGTCCGACAGTAGGGACGGTATTGTTTATTTCTTTTCCTTAACTGTAACTGATAATTTCCTAGGCAATCTTCATCTAAATCTTGGCTGATTTATGTGAATTATGAAGTATCTCGAAAACTATCAAATTAAGATAAGGATTATGAGGAGACCTGTTTGAAATCACTACTGCAAATTGGGCAAGTGTCATGGTTAAAAATGCGCATCCCTTTTCCGTGTCAATAAAAGAAGTGTGGAAGAGCCATGCTTCGGCACGAATGGGCTGCCTCGACCGAAGTGATATCACGGATTCACAGAAAACCGACGTGAAACAACGCTTGCGTTCTGTTTCGTCTTCCCCAATCTCCCCAATCCCCGAATCCCCAACAACCCTCAAATTACTAATCCCTTAAGGGTAACGCACTTGTAATGCCTCTGGTGTTTTGGGTGTCAATGAGCGGCGCCGATTGCTTACCATCAGTTGATTCGTCTACTCGTTTAGTGGCTTATTCCATAAAAAAGACCTTTGGTCAGCAATGGGCTAGTTCTTTACTCTATACTCGTACTATATAGTAATTATTGTGATATTCTTGTTTGCCCACCACAGAATAATTATGATTATCTTAATTTTCGCTCTAGAATTAGCGTTAAAATTGTCCATAATTATTAACCTCCAGGGCTCCGTGGTCAGATAAAATGATATATTATTTTATTCGACTTATAATCATTATGATTTACTTGTAATTACTATGTAATGACTATCATTGGGTATTGACATAACACTCGGCCGTTTCCTCTAAAGGAGTAGGAACCAAGCTAGGCAAATTAAAACGAACAAATACAAAACGCATTTACAAAAATTAAAATGCTAATATTTTAAAAGCTTATGGTCAATTTTTAATAAGTATACGATCTGATATCCACAACGCTCTGCTATTTTTGAGGCTTCCAAATACCCGTTACGACTGTCAGAGATCTTCCTGATTTTTTTTATGGAATAGGAGGCAAACGAGCAGACGAATCACCTGATGGTTAGCGATCAGCGCCGCCCATGGACACCCGCAACACCAGGGAGCCACAGGTGCGTTGCCGGCCTTTTAAAAAGGAATACGCTCTTTTCTTGAAGGTTTGAAGGTCGTATCGGTTCGGAAATATCGCTGACGACAGATCATTCCACAGTTTTGCTGTGCGAGGCAGAAAGCATCGTGAGAAGCGCACAATTGTGGCCTGCCAACCATCTATATGGTGGGGATGTATATTCTGTCGTGAGGGGCGATGGCGAAAAGATGCGGCAGATATCAGATCAACAATTCCTCAGAGCACTCCCCGTGGTATAAGCGATAGAGAAAGCACAACGAGTTTTAATTTTAAAGTGTTCAAAGAAATTTGAAGGCTTATGAGGCAAATGCTTAACCGTAACTTGTACCGTAAGTGATATCCGTAACACTAGACGAGTTCCTAGTGCGTTGTCCATCTTTGAGGATAGCATCGAGCCACTTTTCTGTGAGACCATGGATCTTTTAATCAGAAACCAAAGACCAACTTACCTCCAGGATTAAACATGAAACTGAGGGCATTCCCAAGTATGGGCAATGCTGGTGGACCAGGCAGTCTCGCTGCAAGCTCCAGCATACGTCTGTGTCTCCATCTCCAGTACTGCCAACCTAAGAATCCCGCTGTGATGATCAGGGTGATGGTTAGCCACAACATGGCTGGTTACTGGAAGAAAAATACACGGAGGTTTTTGGAAAATCCTTTTGTCTGTCAAACGGTATGGAAAAGGACAAATCGGATAGATTTCACGTTGATGACGTCTAATGGGAATGAAGGGATGATGTAATTATTGTGGCGATGTCAATTAACCATTTTAGTACCGTCATTATAGACACAATTAAAGAACAACAGGTTGCGGTCACCGGTGTCCTCGCGGTGTTTGACAGTTTAAGAGATGGGATAGGAATAGAAAGATGATACTCCCAGTAAGTAGGTAATCTCTCCTGCCGGAATCGCGGGCTAGGCTGCATGGCCATACACTGTGGGCTAAGCACAGGGCAAGAGTTGGAATGGGTTGATTGCTTGATGATCATACATACATACTCATACCTGTTTTCCATGGGGGTAGGCCTCTGCCTACCTACTATGGAACGCCAATTGCTACGTTTCTTATATACCTCTTTCGCTTCATCTACAGTCATCAGTCTTTTCATGCATACTCGTCGCTTAAGGGTACTTTTAACTTGGCCCTTCTTTAATATATTATGTACGTATATCACCAACTTGATAGTCTATCAAGTTGGTGATATACATATATACGGGCGCTCTAGACAGACATAATCATATCTATCAATGATAGATATGATTATGTCTGTCTAGAGCGCCCTCTACCGACGGGTAGAGGGCGGGCCGTGTCCAATTATGGTCCCATTCATACTTCTTTCGTAAATCTGTTTTCATCCATCCTTTCTACATGTCCAAACCATCGTAACATTCCCTTTTTAATCCATGTCCCTATATCGTCTCTCAACCCACACTTTTCTCTAATAATAAGCGGGAGGACAGTAGTTTAAAAAAACACATGATGAAGAAGAAATACTCACTTTTAAAATGATCACCCTTGATTACACAATTCCAACACGAACACTTTAATTATACTACCTATGTCATTTTAATGACTTCTATTCATTCTTAATTTATTGTATTAACACATAGACGTGAATAACAACAATAACATTTATATACTTTTTAAATATCGACACTTTTTTATTAAAAAAAGTTATTTTTAAACTGTGCTTCGATAAAGAAAATTTTCGCGCGTAAAAAACTAAGATCAATGCTAAATTATGCAACAGATTATTAAACTGCAATATTTTTATTTTAGCTATATTAAATTGTTTTTTTTTTTTAATAGTTTATGTACTTGGCACTTAGATTAAAATTTTCCGCACTATATGGACTTGAATACAAATAAATGTATGTTTACTCGAGAAGCTCTTGTCTGACTACGGTAGCGTTTACTTCATAATGTGCATTTTAATAACAGTAGGAGAACATGATACTGTTTGTTGTGTATGGGGATTTTCTTAGGCAACATACGAAGATTTGGTTGAGGAAAAATAAAAATATCAGATCGATCTGTCGTCATCAGGAAGGAGGTAAAACTCCAACTGAATTTTAATACAAACAAATAAACGGGTCAAGCTAAAAAAAACGTTAAAAAAGGCTTGGTAATCATGAAAGTGTTCTCCAGCCTCCCATGGTTTTGTTTTTGAGGGGTGAAAATCATCAAATCCTCCTAGCTTAGGTGAGGCGTGAGGGAGTGTTAGGCTCTTACAGTCTGGTGATTAACAACTTCGTTCCGATTCCTGCTTCGATCAGGAATCACACGGTAACTTTGGTAGTGGTCTGACGGCTTATTGAGTTAGCCTACCTACTAGGGTGAGGTAAAAAGTTTTTAATCTGTTATACTAACCTATTGTAAATGCCAAAGTTTGTATGTTTGTTTATTTGCTACTTTTTTACGTCCAAACTGCTGAAGGGATCGGGCTGACATTAGGTACAGGGGTAAATTATGGTGCCTCAAGGAGCCATCAGACCACCACAGATGGGGCTCAACAGGGCTGATGCTCATACGGAGCCACAGAAGACTTAGGTAACGGGTTGCCGGGGCTCCGGCTCAAAGTGAAGGGTAGTTTTTAGGCAGTAAGAGTCATAACACACCCTCCCGCCTCACCCGGGCGGGGGAAAGTCATTGGATGATTTTCCCCCCTCAAAAAAAGGGGGTAGATTATGGTCTGGTATAACACATTGGCTACTTTTTAACCCACGGGAACGCGGGCGAAACCGCTGGCATAAGCTGAAAGAAGATATGACACGGTCAATCTAATCAGTTCTAAAACTAACACCATACTTCGGCACAGGGCAATTCGCCGGCTCAATGGGAGTAATACTATCTTCATCAGCAGCCATAAAATGCCCACTACCGAACACATACCTACAGCAGGATTTGCCAAAATCCTCACACAAGACAGTTGGCTAGGAGATGATGATGTTAGATCACCGAAAAGTGTATTAGATGATGCTGTTACTGCTTCTCGTTTTCCGGTTACTTGTCTTTTTTTTGTGTAGAGCGGCAAACGCAATGTATGTTAGGCAACCTGTGCCGCCCATCATTGACTCTAAAAGAAGAGTGCTTTGCCGACCAGTTTGGGGATGAGAGAAGGATTAGGCCTCACTTAAACGGTGAAACACAACGCAACTGTTGTTTCACGCCGGTTTTCTGTGAGGCCGGGGTGTCACTCCGGTCGAGCCAACCCTTCCGTGGCGAAGCATGGATCTTACACGTAGAACCTATGTAGATAGATAGGTATATATTTACATAGGTATGTTTGTTCTACGTGTTCTACCTACCTAGGTATCTTCGGGGATTTCTCAAAAACATCAAACAACTTTGTATTCATACTTACTTTATTACAAAACCTCGAAAATGACCGCAATCACGTACCTGTACTACCTACCAATATTTAATGTGTCTCACGTACTTATTATAATGCTAATGCGTATGTTGACTAGAAACTGGTGTGTTTTAGATAAAAATCTCCTCTTATAAACACATTACGTAAAGCCTAAACGTGACGTGAACATATCACAATGTAAAAATGCGTTTGTGGTTACGAGGTGCAAGGTTACATACGGTTACATACTCAAACATGAATGCACGCCCATTATACAACGTGCAACAGTTGGTAGCAAACTAGGGTTGTTACACCAACCGAGGGCTGAGCTCGCTGCCATTGCAGCGGTAAGACCCCTCTTTGAGGAGTGGCTTGAGAGACGCTACAGCGTCCTCACCTACCGCCTGACGCAGGTCCTCACCGGACATGGAAGTTTCGGGAGGTACCTGTGTCTGATGGGGCGGGAGGAAACGCCGGGGTGTCATCACTGCGAGGACCGCCCTGAGGACACGGTGGAACACACCGTAGCGGAATGCCCTGCGTGGGCTGAGCACCGCCGTGCCCTCAGGGAAGTGATCGGCGAAGGCGACCTCTCGCGTCCGGGCCTAGTGCAGGCCATGATGCGGAGCGAGGGGGACTGGGATGCCGTCTCCTCCTTTTGCGAACCAGTCATGCTAGCTAAGGAGGAGGCGGGACGCGTGAGGCAGCGAACCGCTGCCTCCTCGCAACCCAGCCATCGCGAAGGACACACCGGGCGTCGGGGATCGCGGGACGATCTCCGGCCACCGTAAGCGCGGGCCTGCGGACGGCGAGCATGGGTGGCTCCCCGTCCGACCAGAAACAGACCCGAGCGTACGGCGCGTCGCGTTCCGCGCGCGCCTCAAAGAGCCATCAGACCACCACAGATGAGGCCCAATAGGGCCGATGCCGATTCGGAGTCGCGGAGAACCTAACGGGTATCCGGGGCTCCGGCTCGACGTGCAGGAGAAGGAACGGGGTGGTTTTTAGTCAGTAAGAGTCTGACACTCCCTTCCGCCTCACCCAGGCGGGAGCAGTAATTCGATGATTTTCCCCCCTTAAAAAAAAAAAAAAGGGTTGTTACACATCACACACTTCAACAGCTCATAAGTAGCCACTGACACCACACACACACACTACGCTTGCTCAATGTGAGTTGGCGATTTCAAACTTATAATTAGAAATTATAAATCCAGGATTCTACGCGACATACAGAGCCGCGGAAGACCTAACGGGTTGCCGGGGCTCCGGCTCGAAGAGTAGGAGTAGGAACGAGTTTAGGAATTTTTAGTCAGTAAGAGTCTGACGCTCCCTCTCGCCTAACCCAAGGCGGGAGAAGTGTCGCGGAGAACCTAACGGGTAACCGGGGCTCCGGCTCGACGTGCAGGAGAAGGAACGGGGTGGTTTTTAGTCAGTAAGAGTCTGACAATTCCTCCCGCCTCACCCAGGCGGGAGCAGTCATTCGTTGATTTTCCCACCTTAAAAAAAAAGGCGGGCGAAGTCATTGGATGATTTCAAAAAAAGGTTTCCCCTCACGATGTTTTCCTTCACTGTTTGTCAATGATGTCTAGATAATCTTAGAAAGTACATTACATATAGCTCGGAAAAAGTCACATTGGTACTTGCTGTTGGTAGGTTTCAAACCCGCATCCTAAAATAGGTATTACTCTCAAAAAACCTTGGTCAAGGATATGTCAACAAAATATTATATTTTTTGTGCTTACCATGTCACACCCGAGCCATTGTAAGATCATCTGTAGGTAACCATCTGTAACTGAAGCTTCAGGACCGCTCTGAACAAAATGAGCTCGCGAAGGTTTTATAAAAGCCAAGATTTTTACGTAAAGTAAATGCCTAGTACTAATCATAATTGGAAAACGATTAATGCTTTATGTGTATGGTTTCATAATTCATTAAACTACTGATTAAATATTACCTAAGTTTTATACAATGTCAATTAAATACTATTCATACAAAATTGGACTGCCTCGTTGTCCGAGTGGTCGCAAGTGCGACTGCCGGGCAAGAGGTCTCGGGTTAGATTCCCAGGTCGGGCAAAGTATTACTGTGATTTAAAAAAAAAAACAGTCTTACTAATAGCACGGAGTCTGAAAATGTGCCCGGTATATGGCAATAGGCTAACCTCCTATTACATGGGACTCATAACATTAATAGTGAAAAGTGGGTGTTAGGTACCTCTGTGTGCACCTCTGCCTACCCCTTCGAGGATAAAAGGCGTGATGTTATGTTATGTTACAAAAAATTGGGTTTGATTTCCGGTTTTGGTCAGTGTCAAGCGCTGAAGCAAAACATCGTGAGGAAAACTGGGTTTATAATTTATAATTTTACTATAAGTTAGTTATAAGAGGCGATTAATGCTAAAACCTCAGTGCGAGAGGTATTGGTCAGCAGTGTCCACTTTCTTTATAGGCTATTGATGTATTATGTGGTTCCTACAAATTTTAAATTCCATATGAATCATAAAGACGCTTTTTAACATTCTTCAAGCATTATTATAATAAAGCTGACCATGCAAGGGTCAAGCCATTCACCATGACCTAAACATGTCACACACTCTATTGCGTTTATTGCTCGTTATTTATCTAGCACACAGCTAAACTATACCTACTGTTACTATCTGCGGTTCCGTTTGTACTGTACAGTCAGTGTACAGCGTTTACTATGTAGGTAAAAAAATTTATTCAGTACAGTTACAGAAGATAATTATGGCTTGGCGTATCAGCGGTCATTTGGACGCTCTGACTGGTGACCTTCAACTAAAAGGCCACTGCACGGATTAGTCTGATTAAATAATCAAGAACCTTATCGAGCTGCGACACTATTTGCATTAGGGACGCTGAAAAAAGGTTTGTTGGACGTATTTTATGTTTAAAATTAGAACATTTTAGTGTTATTGTGTTCTGGAACGCTTGTGTCAACGTTTCATTTAATGAAGGTAATAAGCAACTTCGTTTAATGTTATAAATATTTTTTTATTGAACTTTACAAAAAAAATATATTCATATTAATATTTTTTCCACAAGAACGATTAAAAAAGCTATAAATCATGAAATATTTCCTTTATAAAGTCCAAAATGTTGAGATAGATGTTTTGTAATGCTAAATTATCTGCGTAGAATGATATTTTTTATGGCAGAAAAACAAAGTTATGTCAAGCTGTCAAAGTCAAATCGGTTTGAATTTTCGAAACTTTTTTGTGTAGCGGTCGTGAAAAAGAAACTCAAATTCAAATAAAATAATAACAACATATTCAAAACATTTTACAGTTGTAAAATATCTTAGTTAAAGGTAAATAAGTTTATTTAATATTTCATTATTTTAGTTATTTCGTAGTTTGTACAAAATTGTGTACTTTTATGAATGAGTCATTCCATCAGTTATTTTGAAAAAGCGTTCAACGTTAATTTGATGTTTTACGCCCAAACATCGTGTTCTTCAATATACACTTAAGCTAGAGTTATATTGTATCCTCAATAGACTTTTTATTTGTATAAGTAAGCAATCAGTTCAGAACGAGGTTGGTATACTTTCGATGCTTTTTATTTAGATACGATTTTGCCAATTTGTGATCCTTGATAAATAAATTGTTTATATCTGATATGATATTATAGGTAGGTGCATTGAAATTATCGTCGTAGTCATTTTAGTAATAAAATGTTAGGAATTCTTAAGAAAACTCATTTGTTTTAAAGTTGTATCGTGACACTTACTGTTTGTCAATGCCTATTTTTTTTAAGTCCGTTATTTACTTCCAGATGCCATCAGTATACACATTTTCTCGCAGCGACAATGAGATCCTGCAAGAGTTGCTAAAGGTGTTTAGCTCTGGTCGTGGCACTACTCGGGAACAATGGAGCATGCAAGCGGAGTTGCTGGTGGAACCAGTTGGCTGGGATGCTTTATGGAAACTATCCAAGGATTTCTGTAAGAAGTTCGGTAAGTTTTGTTTAAACTTAATTACTACCAGCTTGTATACAGATGTTTAATAGAATTTATACAATTTTAGAAAACAAAAAAAAAGTATACATTCATACTCATTTAAGTACACAGGAACCATTGAACCACCACTGCCTATCATATCTTGAGTTTTTATTCCTAAAGCACTTGACTGCCTCATTGGCTGAGTGGTCATAAGTGCAACTGTCAAGCAAGGGGTCTCGGGTTTGATTACCAAGTCGGGCAAAGTATATTACTGGGTTTTAAAAAATTCTCAGTAGTAGCACGGAGTCTGAAATTGTGCCCGGTATAATTATGACAATAGGCTCACACCCTATTATGTGGGGCTCATAACATAATAGTGTAAGTGGATGTTACATTGTGCAGTGGTATTAAGTGCTGTTATATTCATTTCTGTCTACCTCTACAGGGATAAAAAGCGTTATATTATGTTGATACTTCTTTGATATCTTTTACTTTTATTAACACACAAATTCTTAATCACCATTCCACAGAAGTAAGATTCCCCTGCATAGCCTATGTGACAGTGACATCAGTGGACTTTGAGAACCTCTCAGCTTGTGTGGATGTGCTCAGTGTGCAACATGAGACTGTGTCGCTACCTGAAAGCATAGTAGATGTACCATTGATCGAGCTCTGGCCTACGATAAAGCAACGAGAACAGTGTATCAATGTTGCTGCTACTGCGGAGTTTATTGATTTGTTAAGGTATGTAGTTAGAAATATTAGTTATTAATTTACATCGTTGTCAGGTTATGAAATTCATTAAATTCATTAACAGCCTTTAAATGCCCACTGCTGAGCACTGCCTCTTCTCACATGGAGGTTTGAGCAATAATCACCAAGCTAGCTCAATACTGGTTGCCAATTTCAAACTTATAATCAGAAATTATAAGTCCAGGTTTCCTCATGAGGTTTTCCTTCACCGTTTGCCAGTGATGTCTAAATAATCTTAGAAAGTGCATATAACTCGGAAAAGTCACATTGGTACTTGCCATTGGTAGGTTTCGAACCGACCTCTTAACATCCGGGCCACCACGGTATTGTTATGAAATACCATGAGCAAATATTCTTTTTGATTCCTGGCATTATGAAGTTTTGTGCTTGGTTTTGGCTGAATGTGAGGTCGCATCTGACATTTAGGTTATGCCTAAATGAGCTGTTAGCAAATGTCTTGCCTCATTCTAGGGTAGACATATTTTTACATGCTTAAAAGCTGCTCAGTAGCCTTAATGACTGTCATAGTCATGTTATTTTTGGCTTCCTTTACAAATTGTCTGACTTCTCATAATATAATGAGTGTGAATTTCCTACCATTTTATCACCTTCCAGATTCTACTACAACGACATATGGATGCCTTGGGACGACTCAGAAGTGCTACTATCAAACACAATAGAGGAACGCATGCAGCTTTGGTCAGACATGCACAACGGTACCATACCAAACTGTGTGGCTCGGTCCATTACGTTGCTGAGGAACAGTGCTATAGATGCTCATGAGAAACTGAAGCAGATGGACTCCTCACTGTGTGAAGGGGACGTGGCTAGTGATGATGGTAAGGAGATTATAAGTGATTGTTTTTAATTTTGTACCAGTCTCTTTGTTGGATGGTGTGTGTTTGGATGTATATAATTTACATCTACGTGTAAATCTGAAAGCATGGGTGTTTTTATAATAACTATAGTGAGACATGCTAAATTATCTAACTAAAAATCGCGGTTTACTTTACTTGACTGCACGGTTGGTGCGGTGGCTGGACAACCGGCTGCCGGGCAACGTGTTCGATTCCCGTACGTAACAAAACTTTGTATGATCCACAAATTGTTGTCTGGGTGTCATTGTGTATGTGTCTGTGAACTTGTATGTTTGTAAACGCACACAGGAGAAAATTCTAATGTGGGCCAACGTTTAAAAAAAAAACCTTAGTTACTTTACTCTATAAATACTAATAAACATTTTTCAGATTCTCTTCTACCGCCGAACTACATATCGCTGTGCGCAGAAATGAACGCGCGACTCGACGGGTTGATGTCGAAGTGGACTCTGTATGAAAACTCATTGATTCGGGAACAGTATCTAGCGAGGGAGCGGTCTAAATGGCAGAGGAATAAAAGTAAAAAGAATGTAAGTAGTTAAATCAAAGTACTGAATAGTTTTCTCATGAGCAGCTGCTCATGAAGAACCCCTCTGTGGTTCGAAACTAGTAGAGCTTTTCTCAGTATATTCACGTGAGTAACCCGCGTTTTTACTTAATTTAGTATGTCTCACGATAGTTATTATAAAAACATACTGAATAGTTTGTCTAGTATCTATCAGTATATGTTTTTAATCGACGTCTGTGTCTGTTCAGAGGCACACTTTGTGTCTATCATGAAGCAAAGTTATTGTTAAAAAGTTGACTTTTGTCCACCACTGTTTTAACAATCTTGTCTTACTATTAAAATGATTTTAAGTTCTCCTTTTATTTTCTTTGTTTATTACAGTACAATATTAATAATATCTACTTATAAGTAAAATATATAAGTAATTAAAAGTAACGTTGAATATTTACAACTTAAAAATAAATTAGTATAAGAACATACAAAAAAGAAAAAGACAAGCAAAGAAAACAATTATATAAACAATATTTAAGTAATATTATGTTGTCCACGGTCCAGAGATATTAGGGTATCGATGTAAATTGGGATTATAATAAAAATATTTGTAATAACATCGGGTTGCGATTTCTAACATAATAAATATTTTAAGTAAGATGCCATACGTGAGAACCTGCTTGTTCGTGTAGATGGCGCTCGGTGAAGTTGAAGATGTTGAAGCGCCTGCCTGCTAGTGATAATTTTCTTAGCAGTACCACTACCACTACACCACCTCCTTGTATAATTAGCAGAAAAGAACTATTTCCTTTTTATATAGGTTCCTGCAATTCTTCGCAAACTAAAATAGCCAATAAACATTAGTTTACTTTAAGACTTTGGCTGTCAATACAAAACTGTTGAAGGTAAATCCTCCGCTAACGCCGATCACCGATAACCCCCATTGCGTTTAACGTGTTAAATATACTTTCATAATTCCAGGTTGTAGCAGTATGGCAAGGCGGTTCAATCTTTGAATTCAGTGAGATATCCAAGTTCCTAATATCACACGTCACCAATGACTTCCGACTAAGCGTACTGACGTCAGTGGAGGACGCTCTGCAGCTGGAGCCCCACGAGCTAGTCCTGTGTGGACATGAGCTGATGCTGCCCGAGTTACCGCTGGCTAATATTAATGTGACTAGTTTTAAAGGTATGTCTGGCTGTCTGTCTGTACACTACACTACACATCGAGCTTTACATAACCAGTATTAACTAAACGTTAAATGTGCGGAAAGATGATGCGACGCGACACCAGGATAAACTGGTTTTGTATAGATTGATGTGTGGCCGTGTGTACTAATTATTTGGTATTTGTATGTTCCGAGTTTTCTTACGGCTGTGTATCGAAGGGTGCTCTGTAGAAATTACAGGCGATAATGACTGATTGACAACTCAAAGTCGCTCAGCTTGCGATGTAGAGAGCTATGCTCGGGGTTTCTTTGCGCAGCAAAATCCGAAATATGGAAATTCGCCAAAGAATTAGAGTTATCGACATAGCTCGCAAAATCTGCAGACTGACGTGGCAATGGGCAGGCCGTGTTGCTCGAAGGACTGACGGCAGATGGGCCAGGAAAGTCCTTGAGACCACGGACCGGAAGACGAAGCGTGGGCAGGTGGACCGACGATTTCGCCACAGTCGCGGGGAGCCAGTGGGTGCAGGTGGCGAGTTGTCGTTCAACGTGGGGGACAAAGGGGAAGGTCTTTGTCCAGCAGTGGACGTCTTCCGGCTGTTGCTGAATGACTGATTGGCTATTTATAAAAGACTCAGATTGTATAGTTAGTTAGCACAGTGGCTGGGCCACAACATATGCACGAATTGCACAACTTGATTTCCCCCTTCCCCTTTCCTTTCCACCATCGTACCACAAGACAATCGGCGAAGCGTCATCGATTCATGGTAGATGCACGAAGCGCTTAGCATCAAGCTTCCTTGTGCGTACTGCTAAGGAGTGGAATTCTTTGCCAGTCTGTGTTTCCTGAAGGGCGTGTAACCTGGGCGTCTTCAGTCCCGAGGTTGCTTATGGGACGACGCGCTCCATCGGAGACCGCATCATAGCTTACCACCAGCCGTGATAGTGGGCAAACATCGGCCTATCAAAGATAAAAGAAAAAAACAACGTGTCCCTGGTTTGATTCCAATTTTTCTGTGACTAACAAACTGTTGTAGGTCTAAGCGCGATTTGAAAAGAGCTGAAAAGATCTTAATACGAAACAGCTGATGGTGACAGGAATAATCCTATCAAAATCTACCTTAAAAACAATGTTCTATTTAATAACTACAACTCTAATTTGCTTTATCATTTCTCCCAGGCGCGACTCTCCAAGCATCAGACATGCGTTCCTGTCTCCTTATGTTATCAGAAGAGTGCCGGCTCCGGGAACTGACCCTGCACTGCTCGTCAGTAAACACAGTGATAGTGATGAGATCTGGCACTCTACATATTGTGAGCTGTAATATATTGGATCAGTCAAGTAGTTCTAAGGTGAGTGGAGTTTTTTGGGAAAAGATTAAAGAAAAAGACGGCCTTGTTGGCCGAATGGTCGCAAGTCGACGAACTCGACTAGTTTTAAGTCATGCTAAAGGCTCATATTTATGAGTAGAATTCCGAAACAGTCGCCCTGCGTCGAATATGAGCCTCTAGCATGGCTTGAAACTAGTCGAGTTCGTTGTCAATCAATGAAAACATAATAATTACCTAATTATTCATCAACTTGACCCCTCGAGCGTCCTTATTAGCACCTGGTGGATCATAAAAAAAAATGCTCCATGCTGCTTTCTCTTTTATAAAATCTATTATTAATGATTTGTTTTTATTCTGACTGTATTTTTTATTTTTATAGTAATGATCCTTGTTTTCGTGTGCCAATGGCCAAATAAATGCATTTTCTTTCTTTATTTCTTTCTTTCTCCAAATGTCACGTGTGCACCCGTTGAATCATAAGGAACGCGGACGCTCGACGGGTTAAGAATATGGTGTTTCTAAATTCTCAATAACAGAGTGATGATGCCTGGATTGTTCTATGGGTACCTATTATCATAACTAAAGCGTTATCTTAACCTTATCCTAAACACAACGAGGTGTATATTCTTTAATTACTTTTTACTTATTGCATAGTACGGTATCTTGGCCAGGGAAAATTTAGTCTTGCATCCTTAGCTGTCTGAAATCCTAATACCATGGGGCTTACTCTAGAATCCAATTCACATCGATCGACATTCGTATTGTAAAAATTTTAATTATATACTCTCGAGTTGCAATACTAGCACCCATTGCATTCGTAATGCGTGGATATTGAATGAACTAAATGGTATTGATTGAGTTCGGCTTTATATTCGGTACTCTGAATGCTATTTTAACAGCTACGATAGGGTTTATAATAGTTTTGACATTGAATAATTATTGAGATTTTATTCGATTGAAATTGCATTAAATTTAAGATTGGTTTCAAGAGTAACCACCCAGATGAACCACACCTTCTTAAATACATACCTATATCTATGTTACAGAGTGACTTCGCACAAGGCATAGTGGCGATGTCTGGCGCGAAGATCCTCATAGAAAACTGCACGTTTGATAATTTCTACTCTGGAATCGTCGTGCATAAGGGAGCGCAGGTAATATTGTTTAATTTATTATTTGTAACTTGTATTGGAGTCTTGTATAATAAAAAGAAAAAAAAATATATATTGATAGAACGCATGTATTCTTGACATACAAAAACAGAAGATAAAGAATAAATATATCAAGTTTGGAACATAATAAATAATTATTTTAATCAACCGCACCAATGAGGTTGTGGTAAAATAGTTTTGCTCCAGCATAACCGAAAAAAAAATTATGTCTCAAGTTATTTCTGTTGAGAAACTGTGAGAAGTGTTCGATCACTGAATAGCGTAATTTGTCATTCGATTTTTCAATTTTCCTTACCTGAACTGAAGGAAGTGCCTACGTAGTCCACTTTTGCCATTTCTAAGCTGCCTTTCTAATATAATCACACTAATAATATAAATGTTTCCTTGTTTGGATGTTTATCCATCAATCACACTGAAACTACTAAACGAATTTTGATGAAATTTGGTATACAGACAGGGTATGGGCCTACTTAGCTGATCGAATTTAATCCCGACTAAATGCTCCCAAAGGATAAAACAGAAATCATATTCTACGCAACGCGCGGGCAACAGCTAGTCTATAATAATCGTAATCTTCTTTTACAGGTGGAGTTTAGGAACTGTACAATAAAGAACTGTGGCGTAGGCATACAGATGTACTCTGGATCTAAAGTGGAATTGAGTGACACCGCGATATCCAACTGCAGTGAGCAGTGCATACGATGTGAACTCGATGTCACGCTAGATGCAGCTACTGCTAGTGCTAACGGGTAAGGATAGCTTTAAAATAATTTTAATATAATTATTCTTCTTTATTTCTTTAAAAATAAAACGTTGCGTCTAGACGCCCCTAGACACTAGGATTTTCTACTGTATCGTGGGTGCATTTACAAACATACGATTTCACATACACAGGATCACACAAAGTGTTTGAACCCGTGTCACGCCGGCTGCCTAACCACGGCACCATCTGTGTAGTTACATTTTGTAGACTGACTTTTACTGTCATCAAATTATCTGATGACATGATTTGTCATTCACATGAAATGTATTAAAAATCACTACCTTTCCCAGTCAAGATCAATTCTTTGATTTTTAGCCACCTTTTTTATCCATCGTCGTGATGGCCTGGAGGTTTAAGACGCCCATTTTTAATGGATAATGGTGCGCGTTCGAAACCTACCAACGGCAAGTACCAATGTGACTTTTTCCGAGTTACATGTACTATCTAAGATTATTTCGACACCACTAACAAATGGCGAAGGAAAACATCGTGAGGAACCCTGGACAAATCGGTGATTGATGTCCAAACCTTCTTCGTGTGAGAAGAGGCCTTTGGTCAGCAGTGGGCACTAATATGTGTTTTTATCTACTTACCGACATTTATAGAAGATGTCCATTACAATACAATGGCAATAACTGCCAAATATTGACCCTAATACTCTTTCTTATCGTGAAGAACCTAACGGGTTACCGGGGCTCCGGCTCGAAGCGCAGGAGATGGAACGGGGTGGTTTTTAGTCAGTAAGAGTCTGATACTCCCTCCCGCCTCACCCAGGCGGGAGCAGTCATTCGATGATTGTCCCCCCTTAAAAAATAATATACTCTTTCTTGAATAAATATTATTTTTATATTATTTCTTATTACAGATTCGAAGGTCTACTAGTAAATGCGAACTGCAAAATAGGTACAGGTGACTTACAAAAGGAGGTTCTAATTGTAAAACAGGATGTCAGTATATGATTCAGTATATTTTATTACAACATATAAAATGATATGAACAATATTTATAATGTTTAAAGTCATTAAATATAAATAATGGAGTTGTATAAATAAACGTATTTTTAAAACGTACCTAATAATTCTTTGTCTGATCCAGGCATCGAACCTTGCTGAATATGGTCAAAGTCTATCCAATTTTAGTTGTTGAAAGTTTGATTTCGGACCGGCTGTTAGTTCCATTCCTGGATTGGCAAAATTATTATTAAAGATTTTGGCTCTTAGAGTCTGCATTGTATATTTTGAGCGCAATATTTATAAGACACCTGTTAAAATAAATGCATTTAATTATAATTAATTTACCTGTGTAAGCCAAAATTAATTATTAATAGAACTAAAAATAGACATTAAGAATTTAAAGATTTACTAAAATACTAATAACTTCAGTTTATATTTAAGTATTAGACTATTTGGTATATTATTAGACTGTGTTGTCTGCGGCGCTTGGACGCCTTCATATTTGTCTTCGAAGTCAATTCATGTCATTTTGTGAAAACGAACTAACTGTATACACAAGTGTAGTTTTGAAGCCATGTCATTTCTCGGGAGCATGTCACAGAAGTCATAAAGGTTCAATGTAAGAGAAAGTTTCGGTCCAATAGTTAAAAATACGGCTATAATAAATCGTTTAAGTTCGACCGTATTTCAGAATAAGCGACAGCAATGTTTCTTATTGGAGTTTTATGGAATTAGTAATAATATCAATTACGTGTTTGAGTTTGTGTGTGTTAAGCCGCGTTATAAAACTAGTTATAAGATGTAGATACGGCATGTAGCACTTACGGTAATTTACAGAAAAATTAAAAATATTTACGTACAATTTTTTTATTGATTCGGACTCAGAATCGATAGCCGAGTTACCTCCTAAAAATGACGCGGCTTTAAAACAACACCTTGTAGAGAAAAAACTATTGTACTACTATTTTTCTAAAGGTTGATATTTCATATCGGACGGTTCATATTTACCTTTCATTCGGTATCTTTCACTCAAAATGATACGTCTGAACTCAGAATAAAACAAGTACTAAAATGAATTGGATATTTGCCAAATAGTCAAATTCAATACTTTTTTCGTACGGTCAAAGATGACAGTTTTCTATGATTTTTGTACGAGATTGTGTATTGTGACGTCACGGTTTTTTTGCGTCAAACAGCGTATTTATTTCTTAGAAATTTGCTGGAAATATACTAAAATTAAGTTGGTCATAAAATCAATTAATGAAAGTGTGATTATCTATATATATAAAAGAAAGTCGTGTTAATTACACCACTTATAACTCAAGGACGGCAGAATAGATTTGGCTGAAAATTGGTAGGGAGGTAGCTTAGAGCCAGGAGACCGACATAGGATACTTTTTAACCAATACTTTTTTTTTCTTTTTACCGAAAATCACGAACGGGGACGGGAAAAAATGGGATTACGCGTACGAAGTCGCGGGCAGAAGCTAGTTTTTTAATATTTTATTGTATTGAACAGTCGAAATAATTTATTTTTGATTAAGAAAAGTAGCCAATTCATTATTGAACCGATCCAACGATGTTGGCGTTCGGCATCATTAATTTTTACTCCGAATGAACAAAAAATGAACTGTCTGCACACAGAGTGAATGTTCACTCGGATTTGATTAAATTAGTGATTCTGAGACGAACGACATCAGTCGAAAACAAATTATTTAAAAAACAATGAATGAATGTTCATTTCTTTGTTATTTCACTAAAGTTCATGGAATCTATACTATATATATGTATTCTATACTACATGGAATCTATACTAATATTATAAAGCTGAAGAGTTTGTTTTTTGTTTGTTTGAACGCGATAATCTCCGAAACTACTGGTCCGATTTGAAAATGTCTTGCTGTGTTGGATAGCCCGTTTATCGAGGAGGGCTATAGGCTTCACATAACATAGGCTTCATAAAACATCACGCTACAATTAATAGGCACCGAACAGAATGAGTGAAACCGCGCAGAAGTAGCTAGTGAAAGATAAATGAAACATTCACTTGGGTGAATATTTATTCAAGTGAACCATCTGATATCACCTTAAATGCCTTACTTTATTCTGAACAAAATCTATTTTATGGAATTTCATCACTTTTTAATCCTTTAGTTTAAATCGTTTGATGAGTTATCGAATGATATTTAAAAATGGAAACACATTTATTTATAATTCTTTTATAAAAAGAAATTACCTTCGTCATTATATTTTTGAAAAAAAATGCAAGTCATCTTGTGCTTGTTTTGGTCGAAGAAAAAATTGTACATCGTTTCAAGTTTAACAAAATGAGTCATCATCCCTTTTAAAATAACAGGGTAGTTTGCTAAATTTTATTTTAATGTCCGTCTGCTACAGTAATTTAAAACTTTAGACACGTATTTTTCTTTTTTCACAAAATTAAATACTTTCGACGATATATGCGTTTGAAATATCGTGTGCCGTCACAGCGTGCCACATTTTGTAGCACGTTATGACGTAACGACCTCCCACTCCTAAACTTAGCACCGTTTTATCTAAGTATTGCAACTTAATACGAGAAAAAAAATATGTGTCTAATATTTTTTCATTATGTAACTGACGGACTAATTAGATTTTTAATTTTGATACCCTGAAAACTACCCAATTCATGTCTATGATAATTAAGTGTTGTAGTAATTTGTACTGATTGTGTATTTGATTGAGCAGCTTTAAGTTATTCGGGTAAACAGTGCCTTTTGTGTTTATATTACTATGTATATTAGTTGGAATCTCTAACTAAGATTATATGTTTTATGTTTCAATAAAATTGTTCAACATTCTAATTGGTTTTTTATTTATTTGTCTTGTATCTTCGCAAATAGTGTTACATTTTTTTCTCAAACTTTTTTTCTGGCAGTCAGATATCAAAACCTGCTAGGCGACTCTGTAACTGTCAATTTGAATTTAAAAGTAAGCTCGATTGCATTCTCGCGCGTTATTGGTGGAGATTATTCTCACAACCAATGCCATGACGGACTGCGATCAAGTCCTCATCTTGTTCCAATTAGGTACTTGCCAACGATAGTTTTCTACGAATTTTGTACGAGACTGTGTATTGTGACGTCACGGTTTTTTTGCGTGAAACAGCATACTTATTTCTTAGAAATTAGCTGGAAATATACTAAAATTAAGTCGGTCATAAAATCAATTAATGAAAGTGCGATTATTTTATAATATTTTATTGTATTGAACAGTCGAAATAATTTATTTTTGACTAAGGAAGTATTCAACTGTCAATTTGAACTTTCGAAGTGTGATCGATTGCATTCTAGCGCGTCATTGGTCGAGATTATTCTCTCAACCAATGACATGGCGGACTGCGATTGAGATTACTTCAATATTTTTAATTGAAAATCATATAATAGCCTAGTTGTAGTATTCGGTATTTAATAAAAGTCCCCATCTTGTTCCAATTTTCCGATCCTGGTATGTACTTTCTTCCCGCCAAACCGCTTTGTCATTTTCAACATTTCTTTTCAAAAACTGCCAAAACATTGCGTATTTTGTCGTGGAGCCATTTCCGACCAAATAATTTTGTTCCAAGTATTTTTTTATTGGGACAAGCCCGCCACAACCTCCCAAAATCGCTGCAACTCCTGTAAGCCAGGATCTACAGTAGATACAACCATGAAAACACCGGAACACTGAAGTCCGGCGTGTCCCAGGGACATGAATAACAGTCTTGGTTTCCGAAGTCTTGAATCAGAAGATATTATAAGTGGAGAAGAAAAAAACGATAGTTTCCACTTGACTCATTCCAAGTACCTATGTGTAAAAGTGTATGCTCGTACTTCGTATTTGCAAACGCATTATTTATACAAGATATAAAATCTTAGAGCAAGGACATAGTTTAAAAACCAGTTGAAAACCAGCGTCAGGCACTAGATGTCTGGCATGTATGCTGAACTGGACCTTTTTTGGTGCAGCTGTCGGGCACATGATTATTATTGTTGGTATATTTGACTTTTAAATTTTTGTATATACCTACATCTATTTTTGTTTTTCTTTTTTTTAATTTTTTTTATTTCACTCCTAATTTTTTGTTTGCATTGTATTTATTGTATTGTGTTTGTGCCTGGTGTTGTACCAAATAAATTATTTTTCTTTCTTTCTTTCTTTCTAAAAATCACACCATATTATATTATTATCTTCTAACTGCGATTTACACAATGTCATGATCATGATACGGCACTCTTATTTAACACCGGTTGACATCATTTAGAACAACTTGTAATGATAACAAGTCCAAAGATCAATACCACACGGAATACAGACAGGTCAAAGTCCAATAAACTTGTTACTTTCCATACTATAGCCATTTCTTACATCACAAATACGCACCAGTATAAAATGACCTACTAATTTGGTCTTTGGACTTTAGTCTGGACCTTTTTTAAATTAGTTTGTTTAGGAAGCAAGTGATTATGTTTGAGATTATTGCGTCGTTTTAATGTGTGGAAATTACCGCTGGTTTTTTTGTTTAGTTTAGTTTTATAAGAGGAAATTGTAGCTAATTATTTTATGTATTTATTTATGTGTGTTTAGTTTGATAAGAAGAGAACATTGTAGCATCATTTTTTTATGATATAAGCCGGTAGGTAAACGAGCAGACGTGTCACCTAATGGTAAGCAATCGACGTCACCCATGGGTACTTGAAACACCTGAGGCGTTACAAGTGCGTTACCAACCTTTTGGGATTAGGAATTTGAGGATTATTGGGGATTCAGGGATTCAGGGATTGGGGATATTCGTGTAGGGGGGCGAGGTAATTGGACCTCCGGTAGTCTCACTCACACGACGAAACATAACGCTAGCGTTGTTTCACGTCGGTTTTCTGTGAGGCCGCGATATCACTCCGGTCGGGCGCCCATTCGTGCCGTAGTTAGGTACTTGCCTATTTATTTTTTATCTGTATTTAGAGGCCCGGGTTCGAGACCTTAAAGGCCTTGGTTTACATTAGAACTAGTTGTTTATACATGTCATTTGAAAATTGTAATTTATTTTTTGTTAATTTGAAAAGTGTTAGTTTAAAAGTTTCAGCAAAAATTGCAGTTTGTGCAGGTAGGTATTGTCACGGTAATAATTGTGGTATTGTTTAGTTGACTTGCGTGGACGCAACTCACAGAAATATTCTTCTTTATTATAGGTATCCACAGAACACATAAAGAAGTGTTCTGATACAAATCAACTAATTCCTTTCTAACCTTCTTTATATGATCTGTGATTAAGTCTATGCCCACCATTTTCTTAAATTAGCAAAATCATTACCTACCTAATTACCTACCTACCAAGTAGGTAAGTGGTTGCACAGACTAAAGTCTATTTAAAATTAGATTTTAGACATCGCCTGTATAAAGATAGCGAGAGTAACTAATATCAAGATGCAAAGTACAATCTTACGCAATAAGAAAATAAATAATACTTAGTGACAAAGCAGAATTAGACATCGGACCATCTTTTGTTTATGGTTACCTAAAATAAAACAGTATCCCGTATGTGTTAAAAAAACAATTAATAATACAATATTATCTATTCTACATGTCTTTACGAATCACTTGACAGCGTCCCGGTCGGTCATTTGGGAGGCGTAGCGTAGGTACGAGGGCCCGAAGTCATCCGCGCAGAGGCACTTTAGACAACTTTAATCTATGATTTTATAATAACTATCGAGAGACATACTAAATTAACTAAATATCGCGGGCTACTCAGTAGGCTGCGCGACATCACCGCGACCCCGCACGCTACTCATGAAGAAGAACCCCTCTGTGGCTCGAAACTAGTAGAGCGTTTCTCAGTATATTCACGTGAGTAACCTTCGATTTTTAGTTAATTTCAATCTAAATGCAATCGGACACAAACTGGCGACTATCCCTATGCATACATAATATGCACTATGGAAATGCAACCAAGGGCAGTGCCCGGTTAGTGTAAAACTATTATAGGTTTTTTTTATGGCATAAGCCGGTAAGCGAGCAGACGGATCACCTGATGGTAAGCAATCGGCGTCGCCCATGGACACCTGGAACACCAGAGGCGTTACAAGTGCGTTACCGGCCTTCGGGGATTAGGAGTTTGAAGATCATTGGGGATTCAGGAATTCGAGAGATTGGGGAAGGGGAGGGTAACTGGGCCTCCGGTAACCTCACTCACACGACGAAAAACAACGCAAGCGGTGCTTCACGTCGGTTATCTGTGAGGCCGTGGTATCACTCCGGTCGAGCCGGACCATTCGTGCCGAAGCATGGCTCTCCCACACTTAAAATGTAATGGAAAAAATGGTAGGCCTATGGATGTGTTGCTGTGGACTGGTAAATTGGGAATTATGGATGACTGTGGCACCTGCCGAAACAATGTAATTACCTATTACTCATAAAAATGGCAATTATACATAACATACATACCTACATAACTTCACGCCTGTCTCCCATGGGGGTAGGCAGAGACTATGGAACGCAATTATCTATTCTAATATTATTAGGTATTATATATATCGATTATAAGACATTTACTGCTGAATAAAGCCCCGCCCCAATGACTAGGGGAGTGGATGTGATAGTTTTTTAGTATCTTGATATACATATATACTTATAGGCTTTTTCCTAATCAAACTTATAACTAACAAAATATGTAATCTAAACAGTTAAATAAAATTGCAGTGCCTGTTTGTAATATTAAAATTCGACTTCTTACCTATCAGTGGGTGCGTAAGCTATAAGTACGTATGACCAATAATACTTAGTTATTTTTTACTTTTAAACTTTTTGTTAGTTTTTAGTTTGAAGTCGGTTTTTTTAAACGCAGTTTTTGGAAAATTTAAACAAAAAAGTATATAACTTTATATACTTTTTGAATAAAAAAAATATTTATTACCGCGCCAACCGAGCATCTAACTACTCACAACTGGCTGATTTCTCTGAGGTACCTACTCACAGTCCAGGATTCTACGCTTCTATAAATAACTGAGAACACTGGAGTTTTAACAATTAGCGATAACAAATAGGCCCCTTCTGAAATGCATATAAGCAATCCGATGTCCTATTTTTCGAATTTCAGACCTACACCAACATTTTTAGCGTTCAAATTCCATTAAAATCTACGTAACAGAAACAGAATCAGTATTATCAGTCGTATCTATTAGTAATTGTTTCGCTAATCCCTTGAATGTGAGCAGCAATTATCAAACTTTTATCTCTGTGCGGAGCCGGCCATTGAACTAACTAATACATAAATAACAGCATAAAGGTCGTTCATCGTCATACGGTAACCGACTGCCGCGAAATAAAGACGTGATTTCTGTGTGTAAAAAAAAAGTTGTGAAATAAAAAAATGAAGTTGGCGCCATTCGATTTTATGAATGAAAATTATCATGCGGGACATTTGTGTTTGGATCTGTTCAAAAGTCGACCCGATGCTGTGTGCCAGGTTTGTATGAATTTAAATTTAGAATTAAAAATAAAATGTTTGTTTGTCTATGTTACGTGCCGATAACACCCGATAGTCTGTTTGTTTCGTAATTTAAATATTTAACCGCGGGTTTCCCAAAAGGGAGGAGGTTATAAATTCGGCCGGTATCTTTTTTATGTAGGTGTACCTATATACCTACATCGATTACGCCGGGGTTTGCAGACCGATTTGATCGATTCTTTTTTGTTTGAGGCGAAATAGCCGGCACTTCATTTCATAATAAAAAATCTTTTGGTTTAGTAGTTTTTGTATTATAAGCATAATAATTACTCGAAATTATACTACACAATCCAAACAACAAAACTATGTAACTAGAGAATTGTATTGTGAACCTGATTAAAAAGAGTTTCTGGCTCGTTCTTCTCCATAGCAATCTACACCTAGGAATGAGCAACTAGCTTCACTTTTAATTTTTTTTGTTGACGTTCAAAAGTGCTTTTCTGGTCTAATTGAAATAAATGATTTTGACTTTGACTAAAAAATGTTCTTTGAGCCGACTAGGTGGACCTGATTATAGAAGGTAAATTAACACGTTTAGGTTAGTAAATAGAAACACGAATGTGGCCTAATTGTATTTATTTGCGTTAGGTATAAGCATAGTATAATTTCTTTAAAAGTACTATCGTATAAGTATCGTCACTTTTTTCATTATTTTCTTATACCTACCTATTAAACTAATAAATAAAAGTTAACAATAAAAATAAAACTACCTATCTACGATAAAAAACCGACCTCGAAAATCATAAACTAAAAACCAAAAAATATTATTATTCATTATACTTACTCAGGAGATACCTTTATTTGACGGGGAAAATCATTCAATGACTCGCTCCTTGGGTTAGGCGAGTGGGAGTGTCAGACTGACTAAAAACCACCCCGTTTCTACTCCTGCTCTGCGAGCCGGAGCCCCGGCAACGCGTTAGGCCTTCCGCGGCTCTGTCAGCAGTTGGCCCTGGGATAATAATTAGCCTTCATGTTATTCCAGACATGTTCTGTTCTATTCCATATTTAATCTCGATTCTTCCAGCAGCTTCCACGTGAAGGTATCTTACCCACAACAACCACTGAAAGTTAAGAAGTCGGTGCCACAAACCTACAACAAAGTATTACTTACCGAACCGATACATACACCTACCTATGTTTTCATAAATAGGTAATTTTGTTTATGACTTGTTGGATGTCAAAGTTGTTTTGTTTTGTGATAGGTAACATATTCCCGATTGAAGGCAGGATGTTGTTTTTTTAATCTCCCGTGGATTATTCGTCTTCAAACAAATAGGTTCTCAGTTCGATCTATTCTATGTATATGGATGTTCTTATGTATTGTTTGTCCGCGATTATCTCGCGATTAGCAGAACCGATTTTGATGCGGTTTTTTTGAAAACTGTTTAATACACTTTTTTTAAGGGGGGAAAATCATCGAATGACTGCTCCCGCCTGGGTGAGGCGGGAGCGAGTGTCAGACTCTTACTGACTAAAAACCACCCCGTTCCTTCTCCTGCACGTCGAGCCGGAGCCCCGGTTACCCGATAGGTTCTCCGCGACAAGTGTTTATTACACTTAGGAGCAGGTTTTAGCATATTACCTATCCAACTTCAAAAAGGAGGTTGAAGTCTGTTTTTTTTTAACTTTAATTTATAGAAAATTATTAGTAGAAGACTAGATGGTATAACTTTGTTCATTTTTGGCAGTACCTAGGCTATGGTTATCTAATTAGTGTAGTTTTTGTGTAAATTGTGTACTTACTTTATTTGGTTTTTGTTGTGTGGTTTTGTAACCCATTCTAATAATTATATTGGTAATAATTATATTCTATATTATTATATTGGTACGATTGAATAAAAAATTCTAATAATCATTCTCGTGCATGGTTTTGGTATAAGCTATACCTAGGTACTTCTGCGGTTCTTCTTAGAATTCATTATACTTACTGTGTAACAAATTCAAAGATTTTACGGTTACTATACAAAAAAAATCTGATCATATGTAAGTAAGTAGATACCTAACTATATTTTTATTAAAATTTGCATGCTTTATTAAACAAAACATGATGATCTATTGTACCTAACTGTAACACCTCTGTATACCATGTTTTACGCAAATAGGTAAATGTCTTTATCTTTATCCTTCTAAGCGAGTTTCATGGAGTACTTAATTACCAATTAAGTATTAATTAATTGGTTACACACACTTTACACAATAATAGTCGTACATAAAGCGGATTTGATTCCACTGGACAATATTTATTTTTGCCGGCCTGACCGGAATGATACCACGGCCTCACACAGACCGACGTGAAGCAACGCTTGCGTTGTAGCTTCGTCGCAAGAGTGAGGTTACTGGAGGCCCAATTACTGAGAAGTGAGAAAAGCTCTACTAGTTTCGAACCACAGAGGTTCTTCCTCATGAGCAGCGTGCGCGGTCGCGGTAATGTTGCGTAGCCTACTGACATCCTATTTTCCCGCGATTTTTAGTTAACCCTTTGAGTACCGTCATTATTGGGGATGATGACAGGGTATGAAAATTAAAAAATATAATTAGTCCGTAAGTTAGGTAATGAAAAAATATTAGACACGTATTTTTTATTTTGTCGTATAATAAAACAATACTTAGATAAAACGAATCAAAGTTTAGGAGTGGGGGCTAAAACGTCATTTCTTAGTATAAAATGTACTGAGAAGTGACGTCACGCGACATTTCAAATCAATATCTCTTCGAAACTATTCGTTTCTGTGAGAAAATGAAAAATACGTGTCTAATGTTTTTAAATAATCTAGCAGACGGACATTAAAATAAAAATTAGTCGTCTACCCCATTAAAGAACAATAGGTTGCGGTCTCCGGTGTCCTCGCGGTGTTTGACAGTTGAGTTAAGTAACGTCGAAAATATGTAAGGTGGGTGGACCATAGATGGCCACTCTAACGAGTAAACACTTTTTATTCTTTTATTTACTGGATAAATGAAGGAAACAAGTTATTAAGTAATACTTTGTTTTATTGTCCACCATATTATTTATTTATTTTTTGCCTAAGTTTAAACAACATTTATTAAATTTAAGTTTTATAAAGCTCTTCCAAATGGCTTTGCATGGAACACGGCTCCAAACAAGGCCAATATTATACATCAGTCGTTAAACTTAAAAATAGAGTTGTAACATTAAATACATTCGCTTTTATTAAAACTACGTAAAATGTTGTTTTATTTAATCGTAACATTAGATTCTTAATATATTATAATCATTTATAAAAAAAATAACAAACATTGCTTGAACACCATCGTATAACTAAGAATATATTAATGGAAATTATTTAAAAATAATAGTAATGAGAATTATATTGATAATAAACAAATCCTCAATGCATTTTATAATGAAATTATAAAAAAATAAATTGACCTTTATGGCCTTCTTATGGTTCCGTTCTTTGTAAGGCCAAAATAATTTTGATATAACTAAATATCTATTCAGTATAAATCAAAAAATTGAATAACCCTTATAAATAATAATATGATAAACATGAAATATTGTTTTAACTTTCCTGGTATAATTTATATTGAAAAACTAAGTGTCCATACTTTCATGATTTTTAGATGTTCCTAGGAAGACCCATATGCACCCTAGTAAGGCCAACCATCAAATTTTTGATTGGTCTTACAAGGAACCACCGGCTTTCCTAGGTACACTACCGATATTTTAATTAAAATCAAAGTAAAATTTTTTTTTCCTTAATTCCATAAAAATAACTTACATAATAATTCACAGTAAAAAAAATCAGATAATAATAGGTTATTTATTTAAAAACTTACCGATTGTTGTGCGCGCGAATAACAATTTTATCGTCAATGACCGAAATCTATAGAGCAATGGACCGCACTGATAAAATTATGACACGAGCTACTCGCCGTCGTGTCTGTGTTCGTGAATTTAATAAAACTTAATATGAGTAAAAGGAATTTGTCACAAAATGACAATAACTACAACTTGTTAATAGTTGGCCTTCATAGGAGCATGGCCTTCCATGCTTCACCCACCTTGAGGTGTGGGGAGCTAGTGTAAAATAAAACAATACGTCTGTCTCGTTTCACGGTGCTCTTTAATCTGACCCACTAACTACTAACTACAATAAGGTATACCCCACTTCACCTCCGGGGTAAAAAAAAAAAAAAAAAATTAAAGATGATTACATTTTTTTTTTTTTGAACTTACAGCTAATTGCCAAACATAAATGTTAAATGCTAAATCCTTAATCATGTAAAGATTAAATGTACTTAAATTAAGCTTACATAATAAAATTTATTTATCTTTAACAAATAATTTTGTTCTATTTTTGTGAACAACATCAATTTTTCCATTTTTCATGATTTTTACATTTGGTTCTTGTTCTTCTATTACAATATATGGGCCGTCATATAAAGGTTTTAATTTATTTCCTGTTTCATTTTTTACTAACAACATATCATTTGGATTATACTTTATTTGATTTACAGTTTTATCATAAATTTGTTTTCTTTTCTCTTTACACTTTAACAAGTTTTCTCTGGCATCTCTATTAGCTACTTGTAACCTGTATTTTAATTCTAAACTGTAGTTATCAGGATTGTACAATGGTTCTATATTAAAAAAAATTCTACTTGGTATTTCACAGGGTTTACCAAAAACTAATTCGTACGGGGCATATTTTGTACTAGAGTGAACTGTATTATTATATGTGAAGCACCAAAATGGTAGCCATTGGCTCCATGTTTCTGGATGATTATCGCACTGTAGTCGTAAAAATGAACCTAGATGTTTATGTACATTTTCAAGTGAACCTATGGTTTGGTGATGGTATGCGGTAGAGTTTAGTTTTTCTATGTTAAGTAATTTACATACCTGTTCCATTGTTTCCGAGATGAATTCTGTGCCACGATCTGTAGTGATTGTTTTGGGAATCCCAAACCTTAAAATGAAATTGTTCACA